TTAGACAAACATACATTAATAAAAACAACTCAAAAGGAATAAAAATAGGAAGCAAACCTAATATCCATAGTCCAGTGTCCCTAGACACTGTCCAGCACTCTGTAGGCTGCGTAAGGAAGTGGGTGTAGACTTGACTGTTTGAGCTTTTGTCTAATGTGTGCCTGTGGGATTGAAGTGCTGGGCCAGGCCTAGCAATAGCAGCAGGGTCACCAGGCAGGCCTCAGGGCTGCCAATCCTCTCCACCCAGCACTGACCTCTGACCCTCCCAGGAGCAGATGTTCAGAGCAGGCCTGGTCCCTGTGACCACAGTAAGGAGTGTTCAGCTCCTCCCATCAAGTCAGGGCAGCTGTCACTGACTGCCCCAGGAGTCCTGATTAGATCTGAGAACCCCAGCCCTCAAGCCTCCCCTCCCCCAGTATCCCTCCTAGAGGGACACAGATGTCTCTTCTGGTGATTAGAGGATCTCCCCGTACTGCCCCACCCCCTTCAGAGGCATCTCCACCCTAGAGCCAAACTTGCAATTTACATGTCAGCCACGTGGTTGCCCCAGCCCATTGTAATTAGCTTTTTGTTCCTGCCTGGTTACCATGGCAACAGCCTCCAGGGGAAGTTCTGGTCCGACCCCTTCCCCTCCAGGAACTATCTCCCCCAAGGCCCTCTTGGGAACTAGCTCCACAGCAACCCTGAGCTGGGTCCCTGGCTTCGGTCCTGACAAAGCCACCTCCCTCCACACTGTTGTTCTAAGGGTAGACCCTTCCACCCCCCCAGCCCAAGCCCCAGCTCTGCAAGGGACAGAGCTAAGGGGTCAGCCAGCTGCCTTCCACCTGCTGAGTGACCTTGGGCAGGGGACAGCCTTCCAGGACTTGGGGACAGGAACGGCTATCTCACAGTCCGGGTGGGGATGAGGACACCTGAAGTTCCCTGCAGAGGCGCACACCAAACCGTTCCTGGCCTCAGCCTCGACATCTGTGAGGTGAACTAACAAGGAGAAATGCAGAGGGAGGCTGCAGCCCCCGCACCTGCAGCTACCCTTTGTTCCAGTGTCCAAGCTGCAGGAGTAGACCCTGGGTGGGCGCGGTCCAGGGAGGTATCGGGCCTTTGTCCAGAAAGAGCAGGGTTGAGGGAAGAGTCCAGTTCTGGACCAAGGTCACCCTCGTCCAGGCCCAATTCCTCCAACAAAGGAATAGGGTGGGGCTAGGAAGCCAGGGTTTTCAGAACAGGGTTGGGGACAGGAGGGCGGCTCTGTCCCTTGGAGGACATCCGGTTCTTTCAGTGGAGGTTTGGGCAGAGGGAATCATCATAGCTTTCGGGGAGAGCCCCACCCAAAGCTGCTCACCCTATCCATCTCACTCAAGGCTAAGGTGCGGCCCCAAAGAGGGCCACGCCCAGACAGTCCCCCCAGCAGGCCTGCTGAGGCCGCGGCGGGGGGGGGGGGGGAGAAGGTGTAGATGGAGCTGAGGTTTAGCAGCTGACGTGGGCTGCCCGCCGACCGGCCGAGGTCACCTGGGCAGGGGCAGAGGAAAGGCGCGGGTGGGAATCACAGGGCGAGGATTTCGACGCCCCTGCCGCCCGGCGGGGTACCGCGCTCATCCCTTTGTTCCGGGCTGGGAGCGGCGGGAGCGGCGCGGGGTGCAGCCCGGGGTGCACCACGCCTCGCTCCCCGGGGCCGCCGCGCGGTGGGGGTCCCCGGGATGAGCGCCGGGATGCCGGGCGGGCGGGGGCGACGCGTGGCCTCACCTTGGCCCCGATCTGGTTGCCGCACTGGCCGGCCTGGATGTGCACGATCTCCCTCATGCTGGCTGCGTCTGGCGGGCGGCGGCGAGCGCAAGCGGACAGTCGGGCGGGCTGCAGAGGGTCGGCGGCCCCCGCCACCAGCTCTTATAGCGCCGGCCCCGCCCCCGCCGGCCTGACATCAGCGGGCGCGGCCAATCCCAGGGCGCCGCCGCAGAATGCGGCACCGGCTCTGCAGCATCAGCACCGCACATCCCGGCTCCGCCCGCGCAATGCGGCGCCTACTCCCGCCGCCGGGACTAGGCCGGGCCCGGCGCCTCCGAAGGGAGGGGCTGGCTCCCAGAGGGTCCGGTTGTGCGAGTGGGGACTCCAGGGAGGACAATAGAGCTCCCCTGGGCCCTTGGACATCCCTCCCCGAGGCAGCTGCCCTGTTGGGTTCCACCACTGCTGCAGCCCCACCCTGAGGCTTTGTGAGTAGGGTCTTTCTTCTCATCCGCTTAGGAACAAACCCCCGTCTTCCTGGATCCCTATCTTGTGGCAGACAAGGTATTCTGGTCTCTGCCAGGTTCGTAGGGGTGGGCGAGGCAGGAACCCACTAAGCAGGCCACCTGCAAGAAAGCGAGCTTCAGACAGGACCCAGAAACATCCGAGTTAGGAGACTAGGGGAACAGAAGGGCAGCAGGTGATGTATGCAACTCAGAGTCCCTGACCTGGCAATGGAAGGTGCCACCTGCCCTTCCTCCCCGAGGGTGGCCATGAGGAGGCATTGCACTCCTGGGCATTCCCAGCGCCTGGCATGCAGCCCTTGCTCCAGGAATATCCGCCTCAGGAATCGTCCTAAAGGTACATAAGCCAGGCACTGGACCTACCAGGGCAAAAGACAGAGGACAGCAGTTTCTGACCCATTCCCTGATGTCACCTGTATCCTTGAACTCTTGGTATAAGTGAGGGTAAGGAGGGGACCTGGAGCCATCTGGAACCACCTACTTAAGGAGACTGTCAGAAGAGGAAGGAGAGGATGCATCTGCCATGCATCATTCTATTCATACATACTGCTGGTTTAATATTCATCTAGGGTTAGATTTCCAATGACACCTTATAATGAGGTCCTCATGGAATTTTGATGACAGAAACCCCTTAAGAAGGGTCTCAGGCAGCACCACAGTGTGTAGACCCTCAAGCATCATTCACTTCAAAGCCAGCAGCTGAGAACAAGCTGCAGGCGCCTGTGCCCTCCATTCTGTGCAGGAGTGCTGTGTGTTGTAGTTGCGTCTCTCTCCTCTCTCGGGAGAAGCTCCCTGGTTTGGCAAGCATAGAAATGGGTCTTTTGTTCTCAAGAGACGCCCCTCCCCCACAGTTTGTCCATGATGTGGCTTTCCGTGGTTGGTTTCCAGCTGTCCCCATTCAAGGAGTCCTGGGTGAGGATTTGGCTGTGCCTCCTTGTCTGAGCAAGGGAAGAAGCTTGGAGCCATCCATAGGCCTGGACTCCCTCTCTGCCAGGATGGCATCCGACCAAGCCAGCTCCCCCTCCGTCCCCAGAGGGCTCTGATGCCAGGCTGAAGGCTGACTCACTGTTCTGTCTCCCAGCAGAGACTGGCCTTGCCGGGAACCAGCAGTCTGGGCTGCAGCTGACAGCGTGGTGGGGGCTGCTTACTAGACCTGTCTGGGAGAAGGTTAGCAGGACATGATAGCTCCCACCAAGCCTACCCCAGGGAGGAGGTCTGCTGATGTCCAGTGTCTGTGCAGGAAAATTAGGTGGGCTTAGTGAGAAGCCCAGTTTTCTTCAGAAGAGGGGCACAGGGGTCCACAACTCTCTAAAACCAAGCAGTATAGTTCACCCCAAGATGCCCACTGCCCTGGACTCGGTTTTGGACATCCTGAGTCCCTAGACAACCTCACCCCGTCCTCAGAGGCCTTGTCTAAAAATTTCCCCGGGGCTGGCAGAGCACTGACCCAGCTCCCAGGAGGACAGTGACTAGCAGAGAACAGACCCCAATCCCTGTTCCACCCCGGGCCACAGGCCCCTCTGGGCATCTCATAGTAGATGAGGATGGTCCCATTCACTGTGTGCCATAGCTGTGGGGTTGCAGGGATGAGGCCAGGAAAGGGGCATGCTCTGGCTGGGGTCGGCCGTCTGCACCTCAGGGGCTGGGACTGGGTGGTGCTGCTACTGCCAGTGTAGAGCTGGGCCAGAGGCATTCTGGGCAGTATGAGTCTTGTCACCATGGAGGTGACTGGGGGAAGGGGCTGCTGAACATGTGTCCTTGGCTCTGTATTGCGGTTTGTAGCCACAGAGAGACAAATGGCCAAGAAGGAGCTGAGGCCTGAAGTCGATACACTCTTCCCATGGACACTGGAGGCCTCTGGAACTGTGGTCTCCTCCCCTGGGTAGACAGTCATGATTTCTGGGATTCCTTTCTCCCCATCATAACTACTGTCCCTGCCTTCCCTCCACCCAGATTTCAAGCAGCTTCTGGAAGAGTCCAGGAGATGGTGGTGAGGCTGCACCTGAGCACAGCATTATTACCCATTGTTTCCTGGCCCTGCACTCCCAGGCACTGGCCACTGATTCAGACTGGCAGCCTCTCCTGCAGCCAGAGCGTGCCTTTGCTGGATCCCCATGCCTGGGGTGAGTGTGGTGCTGGATTCCCAACTCTCGGGTTTCCACTGAGCCTGCAAACTGGCTGGATGCTCAGCCCCACTCTGGTGGACACCCCTGTGCAATAGGCCCATTCTGCAAATCCAGTCCCCTAGCTCACTTCTGAAAGCAGCCTGCTGCACAGCTGTGGCTGGATCTTTCTGGTCACAAAGCCCTTTCTCCTGAGGCCCTGAACAGGAGCAGGGTCCCTTTTCCATGGCTTCCTGTCCCAGCTGCTGAGGGCACAAGCCCCAAGAGCTGGCAGTAAAAACTAAGTGATGGTGGGCATTGCCTAGTCACAGGCAGAAGCAGAAATCCCTAGGACAGAGAATGTCTCTTTAGGATCCTAGGATCTGCCCCTGCTGCCCAGTAACCAAGCCCCTCCCCTCCCCAACTTCCTCCATTTCCCACAACTTCATTTGAGGGGGTGGTTTCTGGAGGTCACACTTACCCCTCTCCCCGTCCCCGGTCTGTGCTTTCACACCTTTAGAGATCATCTAGTCTGTCCTTTGGCAAATGGGACCAAGAAGGGAAGGGCCTATCCAAGGCCACACAGGACTCGGGCCACTGGATACCTTTGTCTTACTCTGCCCAGCATCCCGGCCTTGATTCCAGAAGCCACCCTCCCTGCTCACCAGGAGCACAGCAGCACCTCCTTGAGTGTCAGGCGGAGCTCCCGGCTGCGGAAGGCATAGATGAGAGGGTCCACAATGGAGTTGCATATAATGAGGGCCAGGAACAGGTTGAAGTTCTTGAAGACACAGCTGCAGGCAGGGTGCTGGGGGCAGAGAACGATGAGGGTGAGGTGCAGGAAAAAGGGGCCCCAGCACAGGAAGAAAACACCCAGGAGAGTAGTGAGGGTCACAGCACCCTTCAGACGGAAGCCCTGGTGCACTGGTCGCTGCATCTTGTGGAGCTGGGCGATGCCCTGGGCATGCTGGCACGCCCGGGCCAGCATGTGGATGTAGAGAGCTGCCATGAGTGCCAGCATAGCCAGAAAGAAGGTGACGAGACAAAGCAGGACAGCTGCGTGGTTGTAGTAGGTGATGAAGAGGGTGCTGGAGAGGATGCTGGCCGCCCAGATTGCCACGATGGCCCACCGTGCGCGGGGCAGCGTCACAATGCTGTGATAACGTAGTGCATAGAAGATGGAGATGTAGCGGTCCACAGCAATGGCCCCCAGAAAGCAGAGGCTGGACACCATGGAGCCATAGGTGAGCACGTCCATGACATTGTCCAGCTGCTGCACCACAGTGGCTGGCGTTGCCAGGGCGCCCACCTCCAGCAGCAGGAAGACGGCAGTCTCCAGCACACTGCTGGTGCTCACCAGCAGGTCAGACAGGGCCAGGCAGCAGATGAAGCAGTACATGGGAGAGTGCAGGTTGCGGTTCTTGGCGATGGCAACCACTACCAGCATGTTCTCCACGAAGCTCACCAGCCCCAGGCCAAGGAAGAGCCCGTCAGGAACGGACACCAGCAGGCACTGGGGGCCCGTCTGGTTGGTGGCCAGCTGGAGCTGAGGGGTGGCCGTAGGGGTGGAGTTGAGAGAGCCCAGGAGCCTCCTCTGAACAAGCATAGTCCTGTCCTCAGAGCAGGAGGGGCGGATGGAGGGTCCCAGACTCCACTGTGTCAGGCTCCAGGCACCAGCTCAGCTCATGGTGCGTCGGGTGTCACTCACACCTGTCCTGTTCCATCCCGCTCTGACACTCGCACTCACCCTCTCCCTGGCTGGACAAAGGTTGGCCTAGGCATGGCCCCAGTAGAGTCCAGAGACTTCCTGGCTGGGACCCTGAGTTCTGCGGTGTGGACCTTCTGCTCCCGGAATCTCAGTTCACAGTGCCAATGAAGCTGGTCATCCACTGCACTGCCAACCTCTTCTCTGGAGGCTGCTCTGGTGGGGACATCATCTGCTCCAGGAGCCTCTAGGTCACCTGCCTCTGATAACTCTGCCTGGCCTCCTGCCTCCCTGGGCCAGGGGTAGGCTGAGGTCCCAGGAAGAATGGAGCCTTTCTTGAAAGTTGTCTGCGGAGCCCCTCCTCCAGAGGGTGGCACATGATGGGCGTGCGACTGAGCTGCGTGAGCACCCCGGGACCGGCAGCCAGGGGTGTGAGCGGCACCCAGCAGGCGCCAGAGCCCAAGGACCCCTGGGCACAGCGCGGGGTCAAAGCCATGCTGACCTTCCCCGGGCTCCTGCCCCTGCGTCATCAGTCCTGCCTCTGAGGACCTGCCCCTGCGCCCCCTTCTGAGAAACTTCTAATTCTCCTGCAGCCTCATCGCGGCTTCCCTGCGTTCCCTGGTGCCACTGGGCTCTGCTTCATGGTGGGAGCAGCTGCCAGCCCACCCTGCCAGGCAGGAGGCACGTCGCCTCTGGGGCATTTTTAAATTTTTTATACTTTTATTTCCTGTGTTTATTTTTATGTGGTGCTGAGGGTGGAACCCAGCGCCCCGCATGTGCTGACAGAGTGCTCTACCGCTGAGCCCCAGCCCAGCCCCTTTGCTGTTATTTTGTAGGCAGGGGCGCCCTGAATCGCCCACCACCGTGCTGGCGTTATAAATTTCTTCCTTTTTAAATATTTCTTTAAAAATTTCAGTTGTAGATAGACAATACCTTTTTATTTATTTATGTGGTGCTGAGGGTGGAACCCAGGGTCTCACACAGGCTATGCAGCCACTCTACCATGGAGCCACCACCCCAGCCCCATCTTTCTTTCTTTTTAAATTTTTGCTGAGAGTGGAGCCCAAGGCTAGTGCTCTACCAGAGCCACACCTGCCATCCTGAGAACTTGTGAAATGATCAAAATCTCAAGAAACAGTTGGCAAGGCAGGAGCCACAGCCGCAGCAGAGGCTCAGCACTAGACATACCCCACAGGAGCACCTTGCCATGCCAGAGCGGCCACAGCCCCCAACTGTAGCACTGCTGGGGCTGTGGGGGGCCGTCCTCCTGGCGGCTGGCCAGATGCATCCTGCTGAGGTCTACCAGCACCTGTCACCATGCGGACTTGCTCACTCCCTGGGGCACCAGCCGCAGCTGCCTACCCCTCCCTGGTGGCACCCCCATTCATGCTGTGGGCATACAGGACCTGGAGCTGGGGACCACATCAGGGCACTCTTGTCTCTGGCCTTAGTGGGCCACAGCCAGGGATGGAACCTTGAGAACCATTTACAGCCCTTGCCTGGGTGGGGAAGGCCGTCCTGCTCCCATTTGGGTATCTGCTAGGCTCTCTCCAGGGTGCCCCAGCACTTTCTCGGGCAAGATGTGTTTGTGTCTTGCATTACTGAAGACTGTACCCAGGGTCTCGCACATGCTAGGTAAGCCCTCTACCAATAAACCATATCCCCAGCCCATTTTAAAAAAAAATTATTTAGATTCTATTTTGTGGTACTAGGGATTGAATCCAGGAGTGCTCTGACACTGAACTATATCCCTAGACCTTTTTTTATTTATTGTGTGTTTATTTATTGGCAGTACTAGGAAATGAACCCAGAGGCCCTCTACCATTGGACCACACCCCCAGCCCTTTTAATTTTATTTTGAAGCAGGGTCTTGCTAAATTGCAAAGGTTGGCTTGAAGCTGTGATCCTCCTGCCTTGGCCTCACAGCCTCATGGCCTCACTGAGACGATGGGTGTGACCACTGCACCTAGCAACCCTGAGGTGTTTCGAAAGCACTTGGTTCTGCAGTACGTGTGTTAGAATCCATTCTCTCACTCCTTCATCTATCCCACTGCCAGACAGCCTCGGGCCACACCATGCCCGAACACCGGTGTGTGAAAGCACAGGACAGTGCCCACTAACCCTGGTGGGACTCTCCTTACAACCCCACCCTGCAACTCACCAACTCCTCGTGTTTACTGTGGAGCACTTAAGTACAACACAGATGGAAACCCACAGATGACAAACATCAGAATGATGGCTTCCCCAGCCTGAGGACAGCCAGGAAGCAGCACCCAGACCCACAGATTGCAGAGTGGCCCGCGCCAGAACAGCCTCAGGTCCCTTCCTGCCTGCTCTTGCAAGCCACTGTCCTGACCTCAACACCACAGGTGAATTTTGCCTTTCTTGGAATGTCATATAAATGGAACCTTCTGGTTGGTATTTTGACTCACACTGAGATTCATCCTTTTTATTGCAGGTAATTAAAATCCTCCCACTTAGACCGTGTGGTGTCCATTATGTGAGCAGATCATGCTTGGCATTTGGACAGCTTCCAGCTACTGGGGACGGCCCAAGGTGGCGTTGGAGGCTTGGCGCACATCCCCTGGGGAACAAGGGGCAATGTTGGTGCCACAAGGTGTCCATCCTTAGTGGATCTGGCCGTTTTCCATGTTGGTGGACTGCTTCTTTCTGGCAGCTCACCAGTCCCACAAGCCTCCACGGAGAGCCCGCATGGAGGACAGGGCCCACATACTACCATACCCTGAGCTCAGCTCTTTGCCTCCATGACCTCTGCCCCTCATTGAGAATGGCCCAGGGGAGCGGGTCCCAGCACGAGGGCTGTGCTGCAGCACTGGCCCAAAGCCACGTGCAGCCCAGGCAGCAGCAGCTGCAGACCACTGTGCACCTCGGGGCAGCGGCGGGCAGCTCGCCCCCGCCCCCTGCTTCAGGGCCCCTTAACAGGGATGTGGATTTCCACTTCCATGAACAAGGCCTTTGAGAGGGATGTGTTTCTCCCCATCCCTCCTCTGCCAAGCCTGAGACTTCAAAGGCATGAGACCGGGGTAGCCTTTGGCAGAGGTGACCACATCCTTCCTCCCACGAGACCCAGTTGGCGGGCATAAGAAACAAGACAGCCCTGCCTCAGGACTCCCTGTCTTGGACCTCACTGGACACTCCTGCTGCAGGCTTCGTGGGAAGGAGCCCAGTACAGCTGAGCTGGAGACAGTCACCTTTTGGCTTGTGACAGCAGGGAAAGTGCACAGAGCAGCCTCGGGCTGTCTGTGCCCAGATGAGGCCAGATGGTGCTAAGGCTGAGTGTGCCCTGACCTGGATGTCCCGGCGCCCAGTGCAGCTCCCAGTCTTGCCCCAGATGGACATACTTGGCCCTCACGGAGTATCCTGGTGCCCACAGGACAGCAGTGCACAGCAGGCCTGCCCCACACGGGGACAGTGGGGCCACTACCTGACCCTCATGCCCAAGCACTGCTTCTCAGGAAGGGTGCTGGCCACATCTTGGCAATGTCAGCCTCCTCTGAAGTCCCTGTCTGGAAGGTGACAGGGAGGTTTGCTCCTGGGTGCCCACCTTGTCTAGCTCGGTGAGAAAGGCCACAGCTGGTCAGCCACCCTGCCCATCACCCAGGGCCTCCTGCTGAGGCCGAGTGGTCCAAAGAGGAGCCAGGCCTCCTTGGCAGCTAGGCCTTCGTGGCTGTTCAGAGACGTGAGCAACTCTAGAAGAGTGCTCAGCTGTAGCACTGCTTAAGCCCAAGTGGCACCATGAGGTGCTGTGGGCTCAGGGCCTCAGGAAGCAGGCCTGCAGCTGAGCCGGTCCCTCAAGCCCAGGGCCCTTCTCTCTGCGTCACTAATGCTAGAGTGCTGGCCGTTCATTTCAGAGTTCACTGGCTCCTGGATGCAGGATCACTGCTGTGGCTCCAGATATCTGGATTTAAGGCAGGAAGAGGAAGGGTACCCTGCTTGCCTGTCATTTTCAGAGAACAAACCCTTTTCAGTAGATTTCCCCCCCCGCCAAGCCCACCCCAGCTGTGGAAGCTCGGGTGCTGCCCAACCTGGAGATGGGTGCAATCCCCTACCAAACCCCGTTAGGCCAACATTAAAATTTGGGATTGCACCTCTTCCTGGCCCCTCTTGGGGCAGAAGATCAGCACTGTGAAGGGGGCCCAGGAGAGAACTGGCACAGCTCACAACCCCTCAGTTTCCTGACCCTTGCAGAACTAGACAGGATATTCATTTGTTGGTTACTAGGGACTGAAAAGCATGCTATCCCTGAGCTACATCCCTAGCCCTAACCTCAGCCTCCTGAGTCGCTGGGATTACAGGATCACAGGTGTGGCCAACATGCCTGGCTTGGGTCACATGATCTGTCCCTCCAGTGGTTAGGCACAATGGCACTGAGGCTCTGGTGTGCACTGGCTGTGTGGCCAGTTGTGAGCCAACCTGGGGGTCTTACTGGAGCTCCCAGTTATCCCCAGAACAAATGTCCATTAACCTGTCATATACCCTCCAATCTGCCCTCAACAACTTTCTTCCTAAACTTGCTTTTTGGGCTTCTCCTTCACCTCTGGACACTGCCCCTGAAGCTTCCCAGCTCCCTTCCTTCTCTCCCTGTCTCCTCCCCTCCCCTCCCTCGTGCCTTCCTTCCCTCCTGTGCTGGGGATGGGGCCCGGAGCCTTGTACATGCCGGCCCAGTGCTCTACCCCTCAGCTGCGTCTCAGCCCTCCAGTTTCCTAATACAGTACGGGGCTGGGGCTGTAGCTCCGAGGTAGAATGTGTGCTCAGAAAGTTCAAAACTCGCAAGTTTGGAGAGGCCGCAGCGTCCAGCTGAGGGACCCCCCCACATTATCCCCAACTGCTCGAAAAGAACTGGGCTGTGACCTGAAGGCCAGCCATGCAGACATCTCTTCTCAGTACAAGCCTGGAGATCCCACACCACCAGGGATCCCCCTGGAGCCCTGTGTCCAGATGCCGGTGTGGGCCGCACGTGGGCCAGGGCTGGCTCTGACTCCTGAGTGCAGAGGTGGAGCTGAGTGTTGGAGGAGGAGCCCCTGTAGCAGGGAAGAAACCCATCCATGTTTGCAGGGAACAGAAGACACGGCGGACGGCACATTCAGCACTTCTACTTCAGGGGACTGGTCAATCCAGACCAGAACAGAATCAGGAACATAATTGCACAGCGCTGGGCGCAGCAGCCTAAGTGGCTCAGTCCCAGTCCCCCTCCCCCTCGGGGTTGTCCTCCCGCGGCGCCTCCAGGTCGTTGAAGTGGAAGTTGGCCATCATGTCTCGCACGGCCAGCATCAACCGGTTCAAGCCTTGGTTGTGGTTCAGACCCCCAGGCACTCCTTCCTCTGGCCTCTCCCCCTGCAGCAGCGAGACAGGTCTGAGCAGGGCCTCTCTGTGCTGGGACTGGGGACCTGGGGCCCAAGCAGGGAGGTGCGTCATCAAGCCTGGGGCGGCCTGCACCCCAGCACGGGCCTGGACCCTCCTCAGGTCCCTGTCGAGGACATGAAGCTCTGAAAAACCAAAGGCACATGTCTACCCAGGCCAGTGCGAGGCAGGGGGCCGAGCAGCCCTGCGGCTCCCGGGAGCTCTCGGCCCGCTCCTGCACTGCCCAGCATGGTGCTGACGCTGGACATCTGCATGCAGACGACTGTCTTGAACCACTCAGCACAGAAGCTGAGACGTGCCCAACCTACCTCTACAGTGTAATTTGGCAACAGTGACCGGAAGAAGAGGGCAACCGTGTTTCCATGGCTGACAGGACTTAACCTGAAACAGGAAGTCAAGAGAAGTCAAAAAACAAAGCTAGACTCCCCTTGACTCCTCCCAAGGCAGGTCCGGGTCCAGCTTGGGGTGGGGCCATGGACACCCAAGGACAACTGGGAAGGAAAGGAAGGGGCCCGGGGTGTGGCTCTTCAAGGAGCCTAGTCTGTGAAATGACCACAGCCAGGCTGTCCCTCTGCCATGGCACAGGCCTTGCTTCAAGAACTGCAGTCTCACTGGGCGTGGTGGCCGTGCCTGTGCCAGCGACTTGGGAAGCTGAGGTAGGCGGATCATGAGTTCAAAGCCAACCTGGGCAAATCAGCAAGATGGCCCCAACATTTAAAAAAGTGCTGGGGCTGTAGCTCAGGGGTAGAGCACCCAGGTTCAATCTCCAGCACCACAAAACAGAAAAGGGCCACAGGTGCACACCTCCTTCAGCACCAGGCCAGCAGAGAACAGAGCCACAGACAGGGGACGCCATGGCCACTGTCTGCTGGATACCAGGGCCACACCCATGCTCTGAGGAGGAGAAAGCCCATGTGGGCAGAGAGCAGAGCAAGGTGCCTCTGGACCCGCTGACCAACGACCTCCTCCTGAGCTACTGGGGAGCCTCACTGTGAACACACAGTCCCATTATAACTTCTAGAGCCGGTGGGAAAAGGTGGGGCTGGGAGGCAGCCTGCCTTAAAAGGGAGGGCCGCCAGCAGCTCTGGGGCTTACCCCAGACAAGCAGCTCCTCAGCACATTCCCCTGCCAGGATGGAACCCAGGTCACACATACTAGGCAAGTGCTCTGCCGCTGAGCTAATCCCTGGCCCTTTTGATTTTGAGAAAGGGTCTTGCTAAGCTGTTGGCCTTGAACTTGTGATCCTCCTGGCCTCAGCCCTGAGTAGCTGAGATTATAGGTGTGGCCCTAACACCAGAAGTAAAGGTGAAAGGGCTCTTGTTGGCTCTGAAAGCTGCCCACACTCCGGGGGCAGCCTGGAGACGGGCTCTGATGTGTTTGTCACTTTCTGTGCCACCAACCCACTCTCCTTGCCCAGCCTCACGGGCCTTCTTGCTGCCTTCCTGCTGCTCTGGGTGTCTCTCGGTGCGCTTCGGACCTTACACTTATCTCTAGTTTCTACGATTCACATCTGTTCCTACCACGGCAGCTTACCACGGCAGCTGACCACGGCAGAGTGGCTTCTTACTCTGCTTCCCACTGCGTTTCTAGTACCTGCTACAAAATCTGGAAAGAAACGCTCAGAGTTGGGTGGATATGTGCAAAGGCAGCTGTGTCCTGAGTGTCACTGCTGCTCCCTCTTCCTGTGCCTGACCGCTGGCCTTCTGGGCTGCCTTCGGTGGGCATCGAGCCCCGGGGAGCCCCGAGCACTGACCTGGGTCTGCACAAGCACAGTGGGGGTGAGGGCATTACCTCTCTGGTCTGACGTAGGAGTAGATGGTGTCCAGGGGAGGCAGAGGGTCAAACCCCATCACAGACTGTGTGGTCACATCCTTTAGAAAGGGGAGAAACAGTGATGCTAGCGCCTTCTGGGGCAGGTCACTCAACACAGAAGGGGGATGGGCTTGGCTTTCTGCCCCTGGGCAGGGGCACGGTGGGAAAGATCAGGCACACAGGAAGTGCCCACGCATGCCCTGATCAAACTCACTGTGGTGCCCAAGCCACACAGCACGGGCTGAACCACGAGTCACACAAAGCCGGCTTAGCCCTGTCCGGCCTCTCTACCCTCTCCCGCCAGCACCACTGTCACTACTCATCAGAACAAGCCCTCCTGGCCAGAAGAGGTTGGCAGTGCTGTCCTGAGGATCAGCAGAGCAGCTTAGGTAAATTAGTGGACCCCTGTCCTGGCCGCCCTGACCTGCCTCTTCCTACCCACCTGTGGTGCCCTTGAGGTTTCCCCGCAGCAGCAGCCTGCTCTCAGCAGTGTTGCATGCAGGCCTGGCCACCAGCAAGGCACATGGGGCCAAGACCATGGGTGCAGCTGCTCCTGGACTGACCAGCACCCAGTAGGCCGAGGGAAGGTACTCATGCCACCTTTGGCCTCACCCGCCCTCCTGCCTGTGGGCTGCCAGGAGCAGGAGGGGAACGGTCACACAGCCCACCATCAGGCCCTCCTCCTTACCGGGGGAAGCGCAGCAACAGCCTCCCTGATCTCCGAGAGGATCACATGGCGATGGATGTTTCTGGGTGCACGCTGGTAGAGCATCTTCCGCCTGAGGCCAGGGCCAACAGCAGCAGATTAACCAGTGCCCACCCTGCAAACTGCCAAGCCCTTCCTCCCTGGCAGGTCTCCATCTCCCAAGCATCTCCAGCTTCACCCCCAGACGGCCAGGCAGCCAGTCCATGGTGTGCTGAGTGAGTCTCTGAAGGACCCGAGTGTCACTACAGCTGCTGCATGGCCTGCTGGATACGGTGGGGTGGAGAAGCTGCACAGGGAGCAGAACGTGCTCCTGCCCACTGAAACACCCCTCCAGGGTGGAGAACAGACGAGTGCACAGGGAACACTGGCTGTGAGGGCCAGGGTGCCAGGGCCCCACTCTCCCATCATATCTTCAATTTTACTTCCACAGCAGAGGGCTTCCTCTGGGCAGCTAGGGGAGACTCCTGGCCAGTACAGACCACAGAGTCCTCACTGTACCAGCCAGCCTGGCCACAGCAGTCCCCAGACCACAGTGCTGACAGGGCCAAAGGCCAGACCATGGGTGGGAGTGGGCCAGGGCTGCTGCTTGCTGCTATCTCTGCCAGCAGGTGTGAGCCTGGCACCTGCCACAGCAGACGTGAGAACCAGGCGCACAGCAGTAGGCAGGACAGAACATGGGCAGACCCATGCCACACCTACAATCCCACCTGGACAGTGGCAGCAGCCTAGGGGTCCACGTGCTCACCCACAGGAGAGCAGGGCTATGCCAGCGGCAGCAGACATGAAGCCACTCTGGCCCACAGCATCAGAGGGTGCCCAGAGAGGGCAGGAGGGGCTGACCTGCACGAATACCCAGCATCTCACCTGTTCTCACAAGCCTCCACAGCAGGGTCCCCAGCGTCCACTGCCTGAAGCACCTCACGGACATTTTCCTCCAGCCAGCTCATGGTGGCAGGCTCTTTCCAGAGGAAGTGCGACCTCCCGAGGTACAGACTCACCAGCTGGGTCAGGGCAGGGGGCTGGCTGTGGGAGCAAGGCCTGGGTCAGGGATGGGGGGCTGGCTGTGGGAGCAAGGCCAAGGTCAGGGCAGGGGGCTGGCTGTGGGAGCAAGGCCAAGGTCAGGGATGGGGGGCTGCCTGTGGGAGCAAGACCAAGGTCAGGGCAGGGGGCTGGCTGTGGGAGCAAGGCCAAGGTCAGGGATGGGGGGCTGGCTGTGGGAGCAAGGCCTGTGAGCAGACCCCCCAGCAGGACCTTCTGGAGCAAAAAGAGGCTGTCTCTCAGCTACTGGGGGACAGTCCACCTCCTGAAGGGAGGGCATACAGGTCTGCGACTGTGAATCGGTGCTGTCTGTGCTCCTCAGCTGACTGAGTTGCTCAGTGTACGTGTGTGTCTGCAGAGAGCAAGTGCAGAGGACGAAGGCTGGCCAGGGTCGGGGATTCTGGGGTGGACCCCCAGAGCATGTTTTTCTTTCATTTATGTTTTCTTTTTATTTCTGGTACTGGGGATTGAACCCAGGGGCACTCTACCACTAAGCCACATCCCCAGCCTTTTTATTTTTCACATCTTATATATATTTTTAGTTCTAAATGGACACAATATCTTTATTTTATTTATTCTTTTTATGTGGTACTGAGGATCAAACCCAGTGCCTCACAAGTTCTAGGCAAGTGCTCCACCACTGAACCACAACACCAGCCCCCTTTATTTTTTACTTTGAGACAGGGTCTCGCTGAGTTGTTGAGGCTGGATCCCCCTCCTCAGCCTCCAGAGTTGCTGGGATCATAGGCTGTGCCACTACACCTGGCTGTCTCCTCTGTAATTTTTATGAGAAATATGAAAAAGGTGATATGTGCCAAGGCAGAACGTGGAACATACCAGCAACGAGAGCCCCTCTGCCCACAGCCAGTGCCTGTGGCTCATGCTGTCTGACCTTAAGCCTTGCTGCCCATTCCTGTCGAAAGGCATCTCGTGAACCTCATGTCTTAGGCCAGAGGCCATTTACTTGACCCACCAGTGTTTCTCCTCAGACGTCAGGTGACCCATATGTGGACACAGACTCCAGGCCTTCCTTAGGGGACAGTAACCAACATCCCCAGGGGTTTCCTGTCTCCGAGATTGCCACCAGGCTGAAGCAGGTTTCCAGGAGAGAGAGCCACACACACACCCTGATCCTGCGGTGCAGAGCACACCTGCCACCCCTCCACTGCCCTGAGGGTAAGTGAGGGCCCCCAGGAGGCAACGAGGATGCACACCAGGAGTTATCCCGGCAGGGCACCAAGGCTCTACCTTATCTCAGCATCTGGTCCAAAGAAGCGGTGACTGGAGACGGAGGCATCGGGCCGCACACTACAGTACTCGAGCAAGGGCATGAGGACTGCGGAGGAAGCAAAGGCTCAGGTGCCCAGTGGCCCAGGACAAGGACCTGCGGGGCCCTGATCACAGACACGACTGGAGTCATAACGTAACAGAGGCTGGAAGGCCACGGGGTCCTTGAGTCTGACCAGCGTTCCGAGCTGCTGCAGGGGGAGTGGCTGAGGATGGGGGTCCACAAAGGATGAGCAGGTACCTCTGCACCCTGGAGGCAGACCCTTGTCCTCCAAGTGCCCTTCCACATCTCAGGGAGACTTGCCCATCACCCTTCAAGCATGAGCAACAGACCCTAGGACGGACTGGTGGGAGTGGGGTCGGCCAGTGCCCTGGAGGAGGTGACCCCACAGGGCCTCTCCAGCTCTAGCACTGTCCACATGCAGTACTCTCCGGCTGAGTAGGCAGGGCTTCCCTACACTGCCCACATGCCGAGACCCTGCCAGAGGCAGCTGCTGGGAAAGCCGGCCTACCAACTGCCTCCCAGGGACAAGCCGCAGTAGGGTCTCTCCTGTGAGATAGCCATGGCAGCTCTGTTACACAGCCTGGGCCCCGTGGCCCTGTGTCCCCCACCTCGGCTGGCCTACCGAGGGCTCCCAGTTGCCTCGAACCCGAGGGGGACAGAGGTGGCTGCTGGGATGATGGGCTGAGCCCTGAGTTGGTGAGCTGGCTCTGCTCCTGACAGGGAGCTCTGGACACTGCAGGCGGGTCTGCCTGTGCTCGAGTCCACCCAGTGCTGGGGCCTCCCCATGGCTTCGTCAGGGCCCTGGGAACCCCAGAGCCAACAAAGCAGTGCTGACTCTGGGACTTCCCCTCAGAGGGGCCGTCACCAAGTGTGTGCACACCTCTGTGACAAACACTCCTACCCACATGCGCAAGGACGGCCTCCTCTAGAGGGTCACTTCCTGCGTGCTTGTGGAGAAGGTTCGCCACCTGCCGCCTGAGTAGGCAGCAGCCCCCTGGGCCTGCCCTGGGTGCAGACGGAGGCCTAGTGTGTGTGTGGGGGCACCCTGGAAATGCAGGGCCGTACCACACACTGCCTCTGGATCAGGTCCAGGCCCCGCTCAACCCTCTGCTGCTGTTTCTCTCCCTAACACCAAACACCAATGTGCATACCCTGTGTCTCTCTCCTGCCCTGTAACTAACAGCAAAGTTAGTGGACACACAGTTTGTCCCTCTCCCCACGGCCCCCTCCCACCTGGCTGGCATGCAGTTGGCCCGCTGAGGTGGATAATCAGCTAACTGCAACATCAGCAGTTTTTAGGCTGGCTGGAGAACACATCTTTCTTTAAGCACAAGGCAGGGCTGGGAGCAGGTCTCCACCCTCAGGAAGAAGCACTGCACAGGCCAGCGTGGTACCTACCTCCAGGGAACATGGTGAGTGCCTGCCGGATCAAGAGGGAGGCCTTCTCTCTGGCAGAGCTGAGCTCATGCTGGGGGAGGTCTGTCTGCTGACTCAACAGGAAGTATGCCAATGGAACCGAGAAGGCAAAATTTGGGAGCTGCGACAGGTTCCGATGAGCCTACAAGGGAGCAAGAGGCCAGGTGAGGGGCCTGCCCTCTGTGAGGACCAGGTGCACCACAGTGAGCTGACAAAGCGAGCCGCCCCCACACCTGGATGGAGGACTTGCTCCACCTGGGGGTCTTCAATGTGCAGAAGGGCAACGTCAGTGGGAAAAGAGCTCTGTTGAGCCCCTCAGGCTCAGCACGGTGGGGGACAGGAGCGACTCCCTCTCCCCACACAGCAGGGTCCAGAGTGAAGGCAGCCAAGCTATGACTGCCCCCACCTAGAGGGGGCCATTACCCTCTTCAAACATTTCCCTGCCTTTCTCTGTGTGCGATGTAACAGACATGACTTACTCCATGCTTTTCCATTAACAGGGAGTCCTCGTCTCCACAGAGTTCTGTAATCTTATAAACCACCACAAACATGCCTCTGTGGCTGGTTCTGGGGACCCCATGGGTTTCTCACAGCCATTCTCATGAGCTCCTGGAATCTCTGTAAACTAGATCCCGGGAAGTGAGACTTCTTGGCCAACTGTATAAAGGGTTATGTGATTTTAAATGATTTACCTGTTTTTCATGACTTATTTTTTATGAAAAATGTTTGTCTTTATTCATGAAAAATAGGTACCGTGAAAGGTTCAAGCAGAAAAGTAGAACAAGTACAGGCTCCTCCCCCTCCTCCCCTCCTAGGCCTGAGCCCCCTCTGGACAAGCTCTGTTCAGCTGTTTGTCCCACTCATTTGCAGCGGCTACACTAAAGCGAGAGGTGAGACTGATCTTCACACGTGGAGCCTGACCCTACACTGCTGCTTCGACTTGTGTGCACACCCCACCTGTAGCAAGATAGTGCATGCTCTCTGGCACTCAGTGGAGCCCAAGACAAACCCCACTCTCCTGGGTCTGCGGCCCCAGGATGGCAGGTGGCATTTATGTGCAACTCTGACCTGGAACACGTGACCAATCGTGACCCACCCCGACTGTCGTCCCCACACTCAGGACCTGGGGTCCCTGTCAGCCTGCACCACAACCTCTCCCACTGAGTGGCTGTGCCTTTCTGTGCCTAGCACGCCCAGCTCTGAGGTCTGCCTGACTGTCCGTTACTAAGCACCATCTCTACCCGCACACTCGATGCAGCTGTGTGCTATTCTTGGGGTTCTGATGCAAGGCTGCTTCCCTCTGGGAAGACCTGATTCTGCTCAGCAGCAGAGATGAGGGGGACTAAAGGGCAGGAGGACCCTGGAACCCACCCTGGCTCTGCTTCATGGCCTCACCATGGCTACTAGTCACACTGCAAGCGCACACCTACCTCCCACTCCTGGAAGAGGCGGATCAAGTACTCATAGTTCCGGGCCCGCAAGGACAGGTGGTCGACAAGCAGCAGCATGCACAGCGGGTCCTCGTCTGGCTCAAGGCTTCGCAGGCAGCACAGTGAGGGAAGAGCAAAGAGAGCAAGGAAAATGTCAGGGCCCAGGGTCTCTGCAACCCAGAAGCCCCTGCCGTGAGGACTGGCGGGAGTGGATCCCCGGTGGACACTCACCTCAGGATGAGCTTGCAGAACTCCAGTGCGGTGCGCGGGCAGCCACGCTTCTCCAGGAAGCTCATCTGCTTGTAGAGGGCCAGGTAGAAGCTCCTACAGCCACAAAGGTCCATGTGAGTTCAAGTGGCAGCAAACAGCAGAGCAGCCTCTGAGGGCCACCTGGCTCCACGCCAGCGTCCAGGTCCTCATACAGAGTCTGCGAATGCCTTTTGTGTCTGGGGAGAAGCTCTGTGTGTGCCTGAAGAGCTGAACACACACCAATGTACTGAAAGTTTTTTAAAAATTTTTGTTGTTGGGGCTGGGATTGTGGCTCAGCGGTAGAGCGCTCGCCCAGCACAGGTGGGACCCGGGTTCGATCCTCAGCACCACATGAAAAAAAAGGCATTGTGTTGTGTCCATCTACACCTAAAAAATAAATATTTAAAAAAAGGGCTTAAAAAAATTTTGTTGTTGTTGTAGATGGACAGAATATTTTTTATTTTATTTATTTTTATGTGGTGCTGCTGAAGATCAGCGCAGTGCTTCTCGTGTGCGAGGCAAGAGCTCTGCCACTGAGCTACAGCCCCAGCTCCCTGAAAACCAAGCTTTTTGAAATCATTATCTTGCTTTTGGTTTGCTACTTGTTATTCAAGGGAAATGAGCTAAAAACTGTTATAATTATGATCTTAATTTACCCTCAAAATGGCGCTACTGTTGGGTACATAAAGGTGTGTGACTTTAGTCATCCTGTAGACTTATTTTTAGAACTCAGAGTTTACTAGAAGAAGAAACCAGTGGAGAAAGTCTGGACAGAGTGCACGGTGCAGCCAAGTTGCTGCACTGAGACAGGGCGTGGTGGCCATAAGGTGGGGGCCATGCCACAGCCAAGCAGCGCTGCCCAGAGCAGCAAGAATACACACAGGACACTAGGGACACTGCTGCGGTCATGCAGGCTTGCCTCGGGGCTGATGCCAGAGGTGGTCAGGACAGAAATGTCATGAAGCAGAGCACAGACCCAGGTCTGCTCTGTCAGGCTGAATCTGACTTAAGCATCACTGATTTAAGAATCAAGACACAGGCGTGTGAGGCCTGCAGAAGTATCCCAGGCCCACAGGGAGGGCTGCCCTCAGGAGAGGCGGCTCACCTGTTCTCGGGCCTGCGGTAGTCCAGCCGGCATGTCCCACTGGTGAGACTGAACAGGGGGTGGAAGGCACACTCCATGCTGTACAGCGCTCGCTCTGTGGGCAGCAACACAGAGGCAGGAGTCAGCCACAGGAGGCGCCTGCAACTCCCAAGACCCCACACAAGGGAAGCACTGGAAAGAAGGGGGCACAGAATTGGGACCCTGCAATGGGACCTCCTAGGTTTCCCTGGTGCCACGGCATTAACTGCAGCCACAGAACTTGTGAGCCTGAGTGAGAAACGCCCTCGACACCATGGGGCGCAACTGCCACATGTCCTGTTCATGCCCAGTCCCCAGGTGATACAAACACGGCCCAGACACCCACAGCAGCGCGCGCGCACACACACACGGAAGAGCAACCAGAACCACCAACTGATGACTGATTCGCCAACCACGTCTGTCCAAAGGGGGAGTACTATCCAGCCAAGAGCACACGCAAACCTGGGTCACACCACGCATGGGGCACACAACCATGGGCAGAGACCACGCACAGTGCTTCCACTGAATGGCTCCCCACACAGGTAGGGCCACGGAGAGTCTGACCAGAAGTCAGGGTTCTGGGGCCTGGGGGAAGATAGTAGACGGCAGGCTGTTCTCCTGGAAGATGAACATGCCCTGGAAAGGACTGCAGTGATGGCTGCCCAGTTCCGGGACACACTAAACCCAGGCATGACACACCTTCCACAAAGTGCTACATGACAACGTCCTGCCACCTGCATCTGCTCTCGCGGCGAGAACGGGCAGGCTGCACTGCCTACTGGGTCTCACCTATGAGGTCTCGTGCCATCTCCTGATCCTCTTGAAAGCGGCAGGCATCACTGAGCTGCAGGAGTGAGTCCACATGGTAGGGGCTTGTTTGGAGCAGAACCTACCAGAAAAGAAGGGCAGCTCTGGAGGAAGGTCACAGGCAGGGACCCACAGGACACCCCTGCAGTCCCCCAGGACCTGTGCACACCAGGAGACATGATCACCAGGTGACAGACGAAATTCCCTTTGGACTCCAGGTGTGCACTGCTATTACCCAGCCAAGGCCTGGACCTGGCTCCAGGTGGGAACTGGGGACCCTGCCTGCCCAGTGGGGCTGTCTTGGCTCCCAGGTCTCAGGACAGAGGACTGAAAGCAAGCAGGTTCCTGCCCACCCTACGTGGGGGACATGGGGCCAGCAGGATCTACATGCTCCCCCTACCTCCCCAGTGAGGCCCAAGACAGAGGCAGCACCTGGGAAGGACCATAGTGCCACTACACGCAGCTCCCAGCGGGAGAGCACCTGAGTGCCAAGTCTCCACAGTGCCCCTTGGTCCGGGGGCCCCACTGCCAGAGGAGCAGCTGCCCGGGCACTGGCCCTCCACCCACTGGCAGCTGCGGGGCCCACGCACCACAATGTTGTTTGGCTCCATGGACTCCACGGCCACCAGGAACTTGTGCTGTGCCTGCTGGTACTCCTCACTGTGTTCAAACGCAAAGAAGGAAAGGCCTTTTTTTGATTCCAACAGCCGCATAGACAGACCTGGCAGGTGAGAGTGCACAGAGAGGGTGTGCTGGAGGCCAGGACATGGCGCCTCTACAGAGCACAGTAGCCCCAACAGTCTCCCTTGTGCTGTTCTCAGAAAGGACTCTGTGATACCAACCAACTCGATCTGAGGGGTCTCACACAGGTCACCCAGGCCTGGGGCTGGGCTGCCTCTGGGCCAGAGGCTGATGTCCGAGTACTCTCTCAGAACACCTGGGCCTGCTTCCCACTGCTTGCTTGGGCTGTCCCAGGAGCTGGCCTCCGTCTGCTTTCCACAAAGACTCACTTCTCTATAGAATTCAGATCCAGCTCAGGGAACAGATGGAGCTGAAATGGCCCAGGACAACAAGCCTCAGGGATGGGAGCATGTAGGTCCATCTGGTTGCCCAGATCACGTCTGGTTGGGACCAGCAGCCAGGGTGGCTGTGAGGTGCCGGGGCAGGAGGCGTGCAGTGGGCACAGTGCCAGGTCAGAGGCCTTGGCCACGTGTAACCCCTGACCAAATATGGTTCTGCTCCTTTTGTGTGACTATGTGGAGGGACCATTTCCTCTGGTTAACCTGAAAAACTCAGTCTGCTAAGACAACCGCTAAATGGTCAATGGTTCTCATTGGCTTCCCCTTAGCTACTCCCTCCTGAGAGCCCGGCCCAAGGTCCAAGTCCTGCAGATTGAGACAATGAGCCCCTATCTCTACCATGTTCAGGTTCCTTTGCTAGAAGGGCAAGAGGCCTGGTGGGAACAGAAGATACATGAGAGGCATCAGGGTTGATCCTACAAGCACAGGTCCCGAACTCCCAGGCGATCCTCACTGGGAGTCCAAGGGGATTCTTCTAGAAACCCCACCCCCACAGGCACAGCAGGTGAGGTGCGTTGGTCACCATCCTCCACACATGTCCTCCACACACCCATGACCTCTTCTACAGTAGGTGCCCCGTCAACCTGCAGAGGGCTGTCTGGATGCTTCTCTACTCTGTGCAGCTGATGCCCAGAGAGGGCATTCCCTTCTTACCCTGCACCTTCTGCATGGCTGTTTTCTTTAAATTATACATACTTGACAGTTTGCAATAAACGTAAGATCATCATACATTATTGATTTTTTAAAATATTTTTAGTTGCAGATGGACACAATACCTTTATTTTGTTTATTTAGTTTTATGTGGTGTTAGGAATCGAACCCAAGGCCTCATACATGCTAGGCAAGCGCTCTACCACTGAGCCACAACCCCAGCCCCCAAATTATCTTAATGTGAAAACAAACTCGAGGGCTGAGGATGCAGCGCAGCGGCAGAGCCCAGCCTGGCATGTGTGGCTTGGAGGGCTCGGGCTCAGTCCCAGCACACACACAAAAAAACACTTAAAAATGCAAGCCTCTGTTCAGCTGCTTCCTGTAGCATGGCACCCAGAGGCCGAGGCAGGCAGCAAGGAAGTTGAGAGCTTCTGCATGGGCCAGGCCAGCTGGGGACATACAGGCTGCTGCACCCTGAGGAACACCACACCCCACACGCAGCTGCACATGGTGCTGCAAGGCCCACCCAGAAGGCACTGAGGCCAGCGTGCCAGCCCCCTGCTGCAGGAGTGACAGACTCACCTGGCTTGCTGTACCGCGGCCAGGTGCTCTTGGGGGTCGTCAGCCACGTGCACTTGGGGTATACACGCTGCCTCTGTCGCGGCCTGGGGAGGAGGAGACAGGCACAGCTGTACCTGCACGGGCCAGGGGCCAGGCTAGCTGCCCAATCCCTCCAGCTCTCCCTGGAGGCAGAGCGGAGGGCAGGGGGCACACAGGGAGGGAGAGCAAAGCACTGCTGCGTGAAGAGGGGACCCCAGCTGCGACCTGTGCAAGCAGCTACCATCAGGTCCAAGGGAACAGGGAGGCCAACAGTCCAGCACGAAGGCAAGAGGGACAAAAAGGAAACAAAAGTGAAACCCTAGAACACGGCGCAGAGCAGGAGTTCAGGGCCACTGAAGTTCCCTGAGCAGACGAGCTGCTTCCTGTGGGACAGGCTGCACAGGAGGAACGCCTGGCCGTGGCCAGAGGCAAAGCAGGGAAGTGGGCCTCTGACCCAGACCCCAGCAATGACTCCAATCTTTGAAAAGGAAAACATGGAGACAACGAGGAAAACTGAGGAGGAAATTGGCGTACTTCTGCAAGGAAGAAGACCGAGAGCAGAGTGTTGAGGGTCCTCAGGCTCCCAGCTCCCTGCGACTCTTGTGTGAGCGACAAGTTGAGGGCACCGGGCCCCCTTTGGGCAAGGGTTCTTAGCTGCTGTTAGGGGGTCTGGCTCCCTTGCCAGGTGGCATCTTAGCCAGGCCTGGAAGGGCTGCACCCTGAGCCGAGTGACGGGATGTGGATGTGTGTAGACCAATCTGCATGCGTTTCAGCAGTGCACTCTTTCACTAAAACAAAACAAGGAATAAGGAGCTGGACTACCTGGAACAGGACAAACAGCATCTTTCTTTTCTCAAAAAGAGACATGAAAACTGTGTGAGAAGCACAAAGACACAAAAAGAAAAGCATGGCCAGAGTCTGAGAGGCACAACATGGCACAGCTCTGCACAGGCAGCAGGCAGTGGAAAGGAAAGCACCAGTGCCTGCAAGTCTACAGCATCCTGAGCACCGCCAGGTCTGTCTGAGGTGAGCTGGCATCCAGCAGTCTAGGGGACGAGGCAGCCCTGACGGACGCTGGAGGGAGGGTCAGGAGGAGCACCTTAAGGGTCGCGACACATGGGGTGTGGAGACAGCACAGGCGGGGGAGGGGAGCAGACCCCATCTGTCTCAGGAGGAAGTCAGATTCCCCCCAAAGACCAGTGCACAGCTATATGGAGGCCCTGAATGATCACCAGGAGGGAGGAAGCGAAAGGAGCCAGGTTTGGTCTCTGAACAACAGGACAAGGGGTGGGGGACCAAGAAGGAGGGAACCTCAGCTTTTCACTGACATACTTCAGTAGGACTTAAATTTCTGAAGAAACAAACAACAAAAAAGTGTGCTACTATAAAGGTAGTAAGTGAGCTGACCTGGTACAGACCTGGTCCTGGCTGCCTGGGAGGCTGAGGGGGAGGCCCATGCAGACTCATGAGTGTGCGACCAGCCTGGGAAGCACAGAGGGCCTCACCTCAAAAATAGATACATAAACTGAAATATGTGCAGGGGGCAGCTCAGAGGTGTGTGGCTCGGAGGGGTGTGGCTGTGGGTTCACTCCCTAGCGCCACAAAAACTAAAAAGCAAATGTAATTATTAACTAATGACTGATAATAACTATAATTTACAGAAATAAGATGATGCAAAAATGTAACACAGGGGCAGGTAGACAGAGCTGGCCTGAGCGACAGAACTCGGCCTGAGCAGCGCAGGTAGTGGTTCATGTAAGTGCTTTTCACAAATAACCCAAAACACATAGAAGTCAGAAACCCATGAGTCCTCGAACACTTAAAAACAAAAATACAAGGCAAAAACTGTTAAACACAAGGAAAGTGGGAACAAACAAAGTCTGAAAACAATCCTTGGCCCACTCATGACCCAACAGACACCAGTCAGACAAGGGCGCCACGTGCACACCTCACGCAGTTTCAATGCACTGTGTGGTCGCAGATGTAGCTGAGGACGACTGAGTGCAGGTGGGCCTCGGCTGCACCGTTCCTGGGAGGGCAGCTGGGCAAGGCGCAGGTACTCGAGGAAACCCACAGTGGGCCACTTCTCGGAGGGCTGCATGGATGCAGGGGGCCTGCAGCCAAGGTGTGGCCACGCCTATCCTTGGCCTAACAAAGAACCCTGTGCATCAGGCACAGAAGACACCCGGGACTCCAACATGCCAAAGCCAGCAGAGCTTCCTCAAGAGGCGTGCAGAAAGGCCTGGGGACATGCGCCACAGGTGAACGGAATAAGAGGGAACATTTCTACACTGCTTCAGAGCTTTAACAAAAAGCATTTAGCTCTATAATCAGAAAACACATACTTAAAAAGACACAAGCTTCCGGATGTTTCGGTACAGAGATGGAGAGCGGAACTCCCACCCTCCTACAGAAAGTCCCAGGATGGGCCCTGACTTCCCCTGAAAAAGCCAAGGGACACTCCACTGCCTGCTCACCATCAGCTGCCCCTGCAGAAGCTGACTAGCCAGGAACGAGTCGGTGACATAAAACTGATCTCAGAACCCAAACTTTTTGTCATTTTTCCTGCTGGTGGAGAAACAAAATGCATCTGGCTAAAATTTCAGGATTCAAAGTTTAACAGCTTGTAGGACCTATTTAAAAATGTGGGGCGCACAGTTGAGAAGGTGTGAAACAGCCTGGCCTCCTGGCGTCTCGGCGACCCGCCCAGGCCCTGGAAGGGCCCCATCTGTCCAGCGTGGCTTTCAGTACTCTCCCCCAGGGTTTCCAATGGCTCCCCCACCCATAAGAAATGAAAACAGGTAAAAACAGCTTGAGAACGCAGCTACTGTGGGCCTTACCTTTGCTCCCCCAGGACCGCTCGAGCACCAAAATACCTTTTCAGTTCTGTGTCTGGATTCAAGTGTCTAGAATGTGGGAAATGTGAGGAAGAAAAATTAAGTCAGGCTTTCCTACAATGACTCGAAATTGCAGAAAGCTAAGTAAGAGTCCAGCCAAAGAACAATGATTTTTGGCTTGAAAGGTGATTTCTAGGCCTGCTTTCTTTAAATCTGCCACCTGCAATAGGACCTGACCACTACTGGCCCCATGGGGCACCCAAGGGATGCAGTGGGTCACTGCTAGGAGAGAACCTGGGGTAGGTCTCCCCTGCGAGTCCAGCGTTCATCTGCCAGGCTTCGTACAGGGAGCATGCACCCTGAGTGGAGGGCCTCAACAGTAGAGGCAGCTTGCTTGTCAAACTGGCAAAGATCAGGTTTCATTAAGCACCCACCAGACCAAGAGATGGGTGATCGTCCAAGGGTGACACTACACTGGTACAGCTCAAAATGCCTCATGAGACATACAAAGGCAAGCTGTTTGGAAGTCCTGAGCTGGGCATGATGGTGCCACACCTGTGTCTACTCAGAGGCCAAGGCAGGAGGACTCCTTGTTAGAGGCTGGTCTCAGCTACTTAGAAAGCCCTAAACAAGCTAACAAAACCTGGTCTCAAAATCAAAAATAAAAAGGAGCCAGGTGCAGTGATGCTCGCGAATAATCCCAGCGACTCAGAAAGATCGAAAATTTGAGGACCGCCTCAGCAAATTAGTGGGGCCCTAAGCAACTTGGTGAGATCCTGCCTCAAAAAAATAAAAAGGGCTGGGGATAGGGCTCAGTGGTAAAGCACCCCGGGTTCAATCCTCAGTACCAAAAAAAAAGTCCTTTGAAACACAGATGTCTTTTCCTTACTTCTTTCTCCTTTTTTCTACTTCCTAAATGTTTAATAATGAACTCTTAACACTTCTAAATAAATAAAGACAGCAAACTGTCCTCTTTCTAAATCACTCCTCCCCGTCAAAATCAGAGGCCGAGGCCATACCTGTGCTCCACATACAGGACATGCTTCCTGGAGCTCAGTGGGGGGGGACCCGGGCGGCTGAGCCCACTGCCATCCTCAATCCTCTCCAAGATGCGGTCGATATCCTCCATCCCACTTTCCTAAAAGCCCAGAAGGAACTGTTAATCGGCACACTGGCTTCACTCCAAGTGCTGTGACAACCAATAACAAGGAGTTACTTTGAAAAGTCATTTGGTATTCACTTTCTAAAAGATGATCTAACTCAGAAGGAGGAGATGTATTATAGGAGGAAGCTCAGAACAATCACTAATCCAGAAGGCCCTGGGAACCACCGGGCCAGAGAGCCACACTCCACGTCTCACAGGTGAGCTCACATCCTCAGGTGAATGAGACTGGGACCTGTGACCCCAAGTGAACAGCAACAAAGCTACCACCTCTCTTCAGGACGGACAACGAGACAAGGAGGGTCAAGGCACGGACGGGAACGTGCTGACTGAGGGGGGTCTGTTCTGTGGGCTTCCACAGGTGTGGGGGGATGAAGGCTGGGTGAAGGGAACAGGGAGCAGGGCTGGGAAGGGACTCTCCCTGCAGAGGGCAGCTGGGACACTGAGACTAGGAACAGGCCATGACAACCAAGGAACAAAGGGCCAATCACAAGCAAAACTGTAGGTGACTCTTCTTTGTCCTTGACCTCTTAGACAGTTGTACTCCTGATGGGAAAAAATGAAGACATCAAATAAAATGGTCTTCTCCCAGCACCACCGTGAGGGACACGGCCCAAGGGGCATGGAGGGATTGGGTAGGGGCCAGTCAAGTCTGGTCGCATACCGAGGCTTCTCCTGTACTGTTTTTCTTATTTTTCTGCTTCTTTTTCTTCTTCCGGAGTTTTCCACTTGCATTAGACTAATAAAATAAGATGTTTTAATCAATGGAGAGAGAAGCAAAATCTTAAAAACTGAGAACCAAAGCAGCAAGCCAGCACCACTTGGAGCACCTGCGGCCCCTCACATCCTTCTGCAGCAGGACCCTGCCCGTACCCCCTGCTGTCAGTGTGGCCTCTCTCCACCCTGCCCTGCTGCAGAGCTGGTCCAGGCTGCCTGGGGCGCCCACTGCCCCTGACTGGGCCAGCTCCTCTGGGCAGTGAGAAGCTCCTCAGGGACGCTTCACCAGAAGTGGCTGCTCCCAGAAGGCACAGACCTGCCTGGAGCGCAGTGGGCAGCAGGCAGGGCAGGGACCTGCATGCAGTACCCCTGGGGCCGCCACTGATCTCAAGGACTTTAGCACAAACTTTATCAGGGTTCCCACGGAATCAGCCAAAGCAAATTCAGAAAATTATACCTCCAAGAAAAAGCCGACACAGGTGGCACGTGGCAGGATGCCACAGCCCTTCCCTGACATGCCAGCCTCCTTGTTACCACGGGGTCCCCATACCTGCTCCAGAGGTGCAGCCTTGGCCACATTTCCTTCCCGCTTGGTCTCTGGGTTTCCACGCTGAATCCTTCCTTTGTTCCCTGACACTGCAGCATCTGTTAACACACAATCAGACTTCTCTCCGTTCACTACCGGGTCGTCCTCAAGATCCTCGACGTTTATCTGGAGAAACAAGCCGAGGGCATTTCTGCACAGGGGTCACAGTGTACATGGCAAAGTAGAGCTGAGCCAGACGTGAAGACACTTGCCATGCCTGTCACCCCAGAGACTCTATTTGGGAGGCTGAGTCAGGAGGAGGCAAATTTGAGGCCAGCCTGAGCAACCTCAGTGACAAAGTGAAAAATAGAGGGCTGGGGGTATAGTTTAGTGGTAGATCACCCCTGAGTTCAATTCCAATACTAAACTAAAAAAAAAGGGGGGGTATTATAAGGATTATAATTTTCTAATATTGTTCATGTTAAAATAATTTTGTCCTCAAGTCTGATGAGGCAATTCTCCTGTCCCAGCCTCTAGAGTCATTGGGGTTACAGGCATGGCCACTATGCCCAGCAGGGAGTTTTGTTCTTGCTGCAATCAACATCAAATGACTAATTGTTGTCACCACTCTGGAAAACAGCATGGCGATTCCTCAGAAAATCTGGAGTGGTACCACCATTTTACACAGTTATCCCACTCCTCAGTTTATACCCAGAGGACTAAATTCTATAATGACACAGCCACATCAATGTTCATAGCAACTCAATTCACAATAGCTAAACTATGGAACCAAACTTGGTGCCCTTCAACAGATGAAAGGACAAATAAAATGTGATATATATATATATATACACACACACACACACACACACACACACACAATGAAATATTAATCAGCTTTAAAAAAGAATGAAATTATGGAATTGCTGATAAATGGACAGAGCTGGAGAATATGATGCTAAGCAAAATAAGCCAATCTCGAAAAACCAAAGCAGAATATTTTCTCTGATATGTGAATGCTAATTCATAGTAAGTGGGGGTGGGTGGCTAGGAAGACTAGAAGCGCTCTGGATTAGATAGAGGGGAGTGAAAGGAAGGGAGGGGGATGGAGGTAGGAAGAACAGTAAAATGAATCGGACATTATAACCCTATGCACATATGACTACATGAACAGTGAAACTCTACATCATGTACAACCAGAAAACAAGAAGTTATACTCCGTTTATGTATGATGTGTCAAAATACTTTCTTTTTTTAAAAAAATTTTACTTTTTAGTTTTTAGATGGACACAATATTTCATTTTTATGTGGTGCTGATGGAAACCAATGCCTCATGCATGCTAGGTAAGCGCTCTACCACTGAGCCACAGCCCCAACCCCTGTCAAAATGCATTCTACTGTCATGTGTAACTAATTAGAATAAATTTTTTAAAAATTTATTTATATATGACAGCGAAATGCATTACAATTCTTATTACGCATACAGAGCACAATTTTTCGTATCTCTGGTTATATAAAAAGTATATTCATACCAATTCATGTCTTCATACATGTACTTTGGATAATAATGTCCACAACATTCCACCATCATTTCTAACCCCATGCCCCCTCCCCTCCCTTCCCTTCCCACCCCACTGCCCTATCTAAAGTTTGTCTACTCCTCTCATGCTCTCCTTCCCTACCTATGAATCAGCCTCTTTATATCAAAGAAAACATTCAGCATTTGCTTTTGGGGATTGGCTAACTTCACTCAGCATTATCTTCTCTAACTCTATCCATTTACCTGCAATGTCATGATTTCATTCTCTTTTATTGCTGAGTAATATTCCATTGTGTATATATGCCAAATTTTTTTTTATCCATTCATCTGTTGAAGGGCATCTAGGTGGTTTCCACAGTTTAGCTATTGTGAATTGTGCTGCTATAAACATTGAGTGGCTGCATCCCTGTATTATGCTGTTTTTAAGTCCTTTGGGTATAGAACGAGGAGAGGGATAGCTGGGTCAAATGGTGGTTCCATTCCCAATTTTCTAAGAAATCTCCATACTGCTTTCCTTATTGGCTGCACCAATTTGCAGTCCCACCAGCAGTGTATGAGTGTTCCCTTTTCCCCACATCCTCACCAACACTTGTTATTTGTATTCATAATAGATGCCATTCTCACTGGAGTGAGATGAAATCTTAGAGTAGTTTTGATTTGCATTTCTCTAATTGCTAGTGATGATGAACACTTTTTCATATATTTTTTGACTGTATATCATCTTCTGAGAAGTTCAGGACAAATGAATTTTTTTTTTAAATAAAATGACTATCACAGGTGTGGCCGTACATGCCTATAATCCTAGTGACTGAGGCTGATCGCAGGTTCAAAGCCAGCCTCAGCAACTTATCAAAGCTGTAAGCGTCCTAGTGAGAACTTGTCTCAAAAGAAACAAAATTGGGGCTGCAGCTGTGGCTCAGTGGTGAAGCGTTCACCTAACATGCATGAGGCACTGGGTTCAATCCTCGGCACCACATAAAAATAAAATAATAATAAAATAAATATATTGTGCCCACCTATAACTAAAAAAAAAAATTAGAAAAAAATTTTAAAATGGCTGGGGATGTGGCTTATTATTATGTATGTTAAGCACCCTTGGGTTCAATTCCCAGTACCAAAGGGAAAAAAAAATCAAATGACTATCAAAAATAAAGATGACACAGTGTTGGCAAGTTTAAAACCACCACAGCATTTCAAGTCTTTATTCCAGCCTAACAGCAGCAGCCTGAACACTGAAATTTATTTTTTAAAAAATTTTTTTTGTTATTTAATAGCACAATTTAAACATATTTCAATTACCATCAGGGAACAGCAACTATACTGTACACAAAAACAAGACAGACATACACACAAAATTCTTTGAAAGGGACTGAGGGAAAATTTTTCAATGCAATAAAGTAAACTCATGATTTTTAGGTATCTGGTTTCCACCAGCATGTCAAACTAGCCACTGGTCCCAAATACTAAGACATCCTGCTGCATATCATTTCTCAATGGCTGCACTGCACTGTCACCCCTTAGCATTTGTGCGTGCGCAAGGGGGGTGGGGGAGTGTTTCCAGTCCCCTCTATGGAATGTGTCGTGTTTGCACAGAGCCTGTGCATACCTGTGTGTTCTGCCTCTCCTCTGCATCACCACATACCTAACCTAACTCAAATCCTGTCTCAGTAGCCTGCACACTGTGCTGTTCAGGGAGCGATGACAAGAAACACATCTACACACAGGCAGCACAACTGTGAGTTTGAGACATATTTCGACCTGTGGTTGGTGGGAGCTGCAGGTATGGAGGGCCAACTGCGTCAGGTTACGTGCCCCCTGTAAGCAAGCCCGCCCACCACAGCACTTAGGTAAGTTATGAGGTCAGGCCAATGCATTCACGTTCTGGCTATGCAGTCATGAAGCAGCTCCATGTCATGCACACCTCTGCTTCCTCATACACAACACTAACAAATGCTGTGTGTACAGGCACATATGCGTGGTGCTGGGGATCAAACCAGGGCCTGTGCATGTGAAAACACTCCTATTATCTCCACCTATGAGTTATAAGGGCAAAAACCCATGGAACACTTGAACTGACTGAATAGAACCTCTTTGGAAATCCATAGGCAGCAGCGAGATGAGCAGCCACATGTCTGCCCAGGTGTCAGTGCTCCATGCTCACAGAGCAGCCTGGGAATCCACCACAGGTAGCAAAATGTGAAGAGACGGTTCACAAAAGAAGACAAACAGGGGCTGGGGTTGTGACTCAGCGGTGGAGCGATCACCTAGCACATGCGAGACCCTGGGTTCGATCCTCAGCACCACATAAAAATAAAATAAAGATACTGTGTCCATCTACAACTAAAAAATATTAATAAAAAGAAGACAAACAAATGGACAATAGGCACATGGAAAGACACCCAACAACATCTTTATTGAAATGTAAATCAAAAGCCAGTGAGGAGCACTGTCCCTGCTGAGGGCTGGGGGCATAGGCTGCCAACACCAATTCCCTGGAGGTTGGAGCACCTTCAGCCTCGCACAGCCCATAGGCAGGTGGGATGAAACGCTGGAGGAGCGCTCAGCACCTGCTGGTCCAGGTATACGCATCCACTCCGGATGCAGTAGTTCTCCCTGTAGTTGCCCCATCAGCCAAAATGAAACCCAAACCCACAAAACACCTGTCCTTAGAGCTCAGCAACTCCAGGCAGAGCAGCCCCCACCAGAACCGAGTCAGACCCCTGAAACACCACGGATGAACACCCTGCAATACACTGCTACTCAGCAAGAAGGAGCTGAGGGCGAAAACCCACAGCCTGCATGAAGCTCAAAAGCACAGGCTAAGCAAGCGAGGACAGAAGGAAAAGAGCACATTCTGGAAGACTGCTGGTGGGAAATGCAGGCACAGGCAGGACTCACACACAGGCAGGGAAAGGGGGCACAGGCTGCAGGGTGGCAAGCTCTCAGAATGTGGTGTGGCACTCATGCTGTGCATGCCTCTGTCAAGACTCACTACATACCCCTGGGGTGCATCTGACTGCACTTCAGTAAGCTGTCTTTAGGACCCCCTGACTGAGACAGTAAAGGTGACTTCTAACCAAAGCCAAAGGAACACTCATGAGCCATGCATGATACCAAGGTCCACACTATAGGCGGCAGGTGGGGACCAGGCCTATGGGTGTCTGCGTCCATTTCCCCGGGAGGCTTTTTTCTTCTAGAAAAGCTCTCTTGCTTCCTCCATTTCAACATCACATCATTTCCGTGCTTGCTGAGTGCCCACTGAGGGCCAGCATGTCTTCACCACAATCCCACAAGGCCAAGGAAAGCATCCCCAAAGCTTTCGTCAGGTATCTCATCAATGCTCCTACATCCAGAAGAGGCGGATCCCACATTGGAATGGAAGTCACTGACTCTACAGCCCAGGAGCCTGCACCCTGAGGAAGACATGCCTTCGGTCTTCCAGGAGGAGCTCTGTGCATGCCTGCTGGGTGGTGGGGACACACAGCTAGCAACAAAGTCCTTTCAGGAAGCAGACACTTCAGCCCCAGGAAGCAACCCACGCAAAACACAAGGAACAAACAAGTAATGTATACAGTATGCTCGCAGGTAACTGCCAGGAGATGGAAAAGGACCAGAATAGAGGGAATGGGACTGTAGGGCAACTGTGACCATAATCAGACTGTATGGCAGTGTGACAGGGAAGAGACTCTGCCTCTGTGGGAGGAAAGATCCAGCCATGTGTTGGTACTTGAACGTGGGGAACTGTAGGCATAGAGGGCAGCAAAGGAAGGGCAGTGTGGCTGAGCAGAGCAGGCTAGAAAAGCGAGTGAGGAGAGCTGTCTAGGCAGAGGTGGAGACTGGGAAGGATGGGTCACGACCCTGTGCACTTAGAGCCACGCAGGACTTTTCAATGGTTTGCACAAATGTCAACAGACCAGGGACATCTTCCAGGTGGCTGGTCTTGGCATGGGGTTTTCAACAGAGACAGGGAAGCCTGAGGAGCAGGTAAGCCCTAGTCTGTAAGGTCAGGTGCATTTGGACACATGGATACAGATATAGAGCTCATGCACAAATCCAGAGACTGGGAAGGAGACCTAAGCCAGTGATACTAATACCCTCAGAAAGCAGGGGCCGGGGGTGCAGTTTGGTGGAAGAGGATACTTAGCATGCACAAGGCCCTGGGCTCAATCCCCAGCACCAAAATGCAAGCTCCCAGCAACTGGAGAGGCTGAGGCAGGAGGACCACCAGTTTGAAGCCAGCCTCAGTAATTCAGCGAGACGTTCAGCAATTTAGCAAGACCCTGCTTCAGTAATAAACTGCCCCTGATTCAATCCCCAGTACAAAAGTCAAAACTATACAACAACAACAACACAACAAAACACCCCACACAACAAGCAGAAGGCTTACACAATCACAAAGCCCCAAGCCAATCTCTTGGACCAGAGTGATTTCAAGGAGGGGTTCACATAAGCATCATTTTTTCCCATTCAGACATACAATCATCTCTTCTTTTTTTTCATAACCCTGAACACCTCTATTTCTCTATTCACCCACCAATTTTCACCAGCAGGGACAATGTCATTGTGTGGTTTAGAGAGCACAAGGTTCAAATTAAAAAAGCCTAAATTTAATTATGTGTATGTGGGTTTTTTTTTTTTTTTTCTGTTTTCTTCTTTTGCAGTGCTAGGGATGGAGCCCTTGCCTTCAATGCCTGAGGCAAGGGATCCAGCACTGAGCCACAGCCCAGTATAAATTGAAGATGTCACCTCTGCTGTCAACATCACCCCCCTTCCCAGACTGTGAGGAAGAAATGAGTGGTACCCAGAGCATGTAAATGCCCTGCGCCTGGGAGTTATTCTTAAAGACAATCTGGAGGGCATTTGAATAAGGACAAAAGGTTTGTGAAGTGGCAGACTTCACAACTGATCCTGAGCTGGTAATAATGGGACAGGATGAAAAGTGGTGCATCCTGAGAGTTGTCAGAAACACGACTGGCAAGTTTAAGGGCAAGTGGTGTGCTGTCTGGGATGTTTTTAAATCATCCCTGGAGAGAAGGGAGTGAAAGTCCAAGGCAGATAGTAGTTGCCAAGTGTCCATAATTAGGGAACCCGGGGATGGACACATGAAGTACCTGTACTACCATATCTCTGTGTTTGAAATTTTCCATAATAAAAAAGATAGAAAGAAATAGAAAGCTGGGGAGAGTTAATTTCAGGCTGAGAAACAGAAGAGGTCGGGTACAGACAGAGAATTCAAAGAAGGGACTTCAGTCCCACCTCCACTAGACTATGGGGTTAGACCAGCTCTTAAGTGGCAAGGTCAATAACTTTTAAAGCAAATACCCAAACTATCTAAGGACAATTTCCATACTCCACAATGTCTTTTAACATTATAGCCTTTTAACTTGCCAACTCGATAAAAACTCAGGGGCAACTGAGACTGATACAAGGTGAGCAAAACAGTCATGCTACTGCCAGCTCAGGGAAATCAGAGAAGCCACTATCAGATAACCCATACAAACGAGAAACTACAGATGAGGCCAGTGCTAAGGGGAAAACATCGTGGGACCAGCGGGCATTTCACTTTCCTTTACCTCCCTGTAGCGGACACCTAGGTGAGGGAGGCAGGAAGGAGCAAGATGCAACATCCCCGGTTAGGCAGAGGTGTTATGAATAAACTGAAAGGTTTTGGAGATGCTAGACTATGAAATCTAGGAAGACCCGAATCACGAAGCCCTGCCCCACCCCTTCACTGCAGCGCAGTCAACAGCCGCACTCTGCCCTGGCACTCTGCCCCCGGACGCCGCTGCCCCACCCTCCCCTCTGCAGTGAGGGGACCCCCTCCTTTCTGACGCCGCCCCTGCTCACCCCAGCCTCACTTCTAACATCACACACCACCGTCCCCGCAGCAGCCCCCCCTGCAGCAGCGCAGTCCCATCACTCATCCCCTTCACTGCGACCCCCTGAGCCGGTCCTGCCCGCCACAACCCCTCCCACCGTACAGAAGCCACACCCTCCCCGCTGTAGCTCAATTTCGTCAACCCACCCCAGCTTTCCCCTTTAGTCCCACCCCTGGAGGTCAGAGCCACACCCTCTTAGCGAAGCCCCGCCCTGCCCAATGCAGCGCCGTATCGTCACCTGGGCCCTTAACAGCTCGCCCCGCCTACTTGGCCCTTAGCCCCGCCCCCAATCGGCACAGCCCCACCTTCTCCTCGGCGACCCTACCTGCCCTCGACACCGCCCCGCTCGCCCCGGTCCCGCCCTAGCCCCGCCCCTTACGTCATGGCCCCGCCCTCTCCGCTGCAGAGCTGCCCGTAGCCCGGCCCCACCCGTGACATCAAGACCCCGCCCACCAGTTCACCGCAGTACAGACCCAACTTTACACCCACCCCGCCCTCCCATGACGTCACGCTCCGCCCCCCGCCCCCAGTTCCCACAGGTTGCCCCGCTCCTCACCAGCTCGAACCGGTTGTTGACTTGGACACCCTCCTTCCCTGAGCCCCCGGGGCGCCGGCCTCCCGGACCCCGTTTTGGTCCTTCTTCTTCTGCGTCATCATCATCACGGAGGACAAACTGCAGGGCGCCGGGCTCGAGGGGCTCCTGGCCGCGCTGTTCCCCCCTCAGCCTCCGGAGGGCCCGGCGCGACATAGGACCCGACGGCCTGACGTCTAGAGAGAAAGAGAAGGAAGAGCAGAAAAGAGAGCAGCCGGCGCGCCTGCGCACTGAGGGCGCGCTGGCGCGAGGCTGGCGTGTCGCGCCTGCGCGCTGCGGCTCTCCGCAACTTCTTCCCTGTCACCATTAGCACCAAAGAAGGTGCAGACGCTTCCGGGCGAGTTTTCGCGAGAGTTGGGCGCCCCCGCGCGGCCGACCCTGGCTGGCTGCAGTCCAGTGCTTTGGGTTTTCGAGTGTGCTGGGTACAGATGACATGTTGTCCTGGGGCCTGGGGCGCGTAGGCTCAGAGCGACCCGCAGCCTTTGCCTAGACCCAGACCCAGAGGGCTGGAGGCCCTGGTAGGCGGGTCGGGGAGGAAGGGGTGCGCGCAGGCGGGCGACTGTGGCGCGTGGGCGGTCAAGGAGACGGTCTGCTGGCGACCGCGTGTCACATGTGGTCTACCTGTGTGTCGTGGGCTCCGCGCCCCCTCTCAGCCCGCCTCTAGGCTGCAGAGAGACAGTTCTCTACTGAATAGGAGTGAGAGGCTTCCCAGAGTTCGATTCCCAGACACCCTTCCACCCCACGAAGCGCGGAGCGAGATCTGGAGTTACTCTGTGTGCAGGGACAAGCGAAGTGCTGGGCAGTGACCGAAGGCTTCTAGAGACCAGGCCGAAGGAGTCTGCAATAGGAGTTATAGGAGCTGTCGGTTATGTTCCTTCAAATCTTTTTTTGGTGCTGGAGATTGAACTCGGGGCACTCGACCGCTGAGCCACACCCCAGCCCTGTTTTGTATTTTATTTAGGGACAGGGTCTCACTGAGTTGCTTAGTGCCTCGCCATTGCTGAGGCTGGCTTTGAAGACAGAAGTACTGGTTGCTGTCCTTGACTTTGCCTTGGAACTCACTGCCTGAGTAGTCTCAGGAAGAGCTTTGTGTGGGTGCCGTAGGCAGCTCCCCTGAGCTCAGCCCAAGATATGTTTCCACTGTTTGTACAAGGGGTTTCATTGCTTGTGTGGGTCAGAACCTGGGTCTACCCATGGTTGGCAATGTGAACAGATGTGTTGCCTGGGGCTATTTCTGCATCTGTAGAATCAGGAAGTCATGGCAATAGTATTTAGCTCCCAGGAACATCTACCCTTGAGAGTGCTGCACAAACATGAGCTTTGTAATTTTTATTAAACATGATCTTTTTTTATGTTTATTTTTTTAGTTGTAGTTAGACACAATATCTTTGTTTTATTTATTTATATGTGGTGCTGAGGATTGAACCCAGGGCCTCACACGTGCTAGGTGAGTGCTCTACCGCTGAGCCACAACCCCAGCCCCTAAACATGATCTTTTTATTACCAGCTCTGACAGGAAAATTCCTAACCCTGTTTGTCTGTTTTCTTAATTTTAAACAGGAATAAAAATATGGGGACAAGGAGCTGGGGTAGTGGCTCAGCGGTTCTCAGCACCACATGAAACAATAAAATAAAGGTATTGTGTCCAACTACAACTAAAAAATGAATTTTAAAAATGTGAGTATACACAGTCTGTTTTGAGGGGGCTCAAAGTAGTGGGAGTTGGTGATTTTTATTGGCTGCTCTAATTTTATGTGTTTGAATTTCATGAACCCAAATGATAGGAATATTCTTTCCCACAAGCCCATCTATCACCAGTCATATTCCTTCCGGGTCTCCTCCAGCCCTGGGCAGATGTTACAACTTGGAGTCAACAGGATTCGGCTAAGGTCTTAGCATATTCCTGAGTGAGCGTCCAGATACTTCACTTTCCTCGTCTGAAAGGTGCAGTGAGGACCATACCACCTCAGGGTGTGTGTGAGGAGGAAGTGCTCAGCACAGAGCCTGCCTGGAGCCGCCAGCTCCCATGAGCCCCAGGCACATCATCTCCTTGGAGAATGAGGGCAACAGGCTGAGAAATGAGACCAAGGGTCCTCTGGACCAGCGGGTGCAGCCAGTGACCTCAGCAGCTCTTCTGCGTGCAACCCTAAGATGACCAGGGTTTTATGGACAGAAGTGGGCCCTGGAACCTCATTCTGTGATGGGCACCCTTATAGTGGAGCCAGGAGGACTTTCTCTGTCCTGAAAGACAGGTAGTCCTTCAGAGCCAAGCTCCCACCTTGAGAAAATATACTAACTGCCATAACTCAGTCTTTGTGCATATCCCAGGCTGTGAGGCCAAGAGTGGCCATGTGCACCTGTTTACAGAGCTGCTTCTCCCTGTACTAGGACCACCCAGTGTCACTGGGCCCTTGGGGCCACCGAGGAGGAGTGAGTGGTCAGGATGGAACCAGGTGTGGTAGGGCCTGGAGGGAAGAATGACTGGGGCAGAGTCAGAGAACAGGCTTGGCCTCTGGCCTCCCAGATGGAGACCCAGGGTGCCTGAGTGCCTCCCAGGTTAATCCCACCCCTCAGGGCCTTCCCAGCTGTCTCTGCTGCCCACACCTCTTGTTACTTTTGGATCTGAATGTCCCCCAAAGTTTCGAAGCTTGGTGCCTAGGTGGTGGCACTATTGAGAAGAGGTGGAGACTTTAGGAGGTGGGGCCTGTTCAGAAGAAGTGGCTCACTGGGGGCATGTCCTTGAGGGTATTGGGACCTTAGTTCCTTCTGTCCCTCTCTGCTTCTTAGCCACCATGAGGTGAGAAGCTCTGCTCTGCCGTGTGCTCTCCACTATGATGTGTTGCCTCACCACAGATCCAAAGTGTCGGGGCCAAGCAATCTTGGATAAAGTGCCACCACCTAGGGACCAAGCTTCGAGACTTTGGGGGACATTGCAGATCCAAAAGTAACAAAGGTGTGAGCAGCAGAGACAGCTGTGAGCCAAAGTGAATACTTCCTGCTCTAAGTTGTTTGTCTCAGGCAGTGTATCACAGTGGTGGAAAGCTGACTAGCACACAGAGTCGGTGTGGGAAAGTGGGGTCACAGCCTCTGGAGCTGGTTTCCAGGAGGAACTTAAAAATTAAGAGAAGCATTCTAGAAAAAGCTTAGAATGCCATGATCTGAGAATAATGGGCAATTCTGGTTGGAGCACATTAGCCAGAATGCTGATAGGAATGTAGACATTAAAGACTGTGTTGATGTAACCATAATTCTGAGAAGTTTTTTTTTTTTTTTTCTTAAACAAACAAAAGTATTCCCTTCAATTCCCATGGAAAGATGTTTTTCTTCAAGTTACTTTCTCCTCCCCTGTCAACCTCTTCCCTACACTACCCCATCTCTTTCTCATGGTATTGTAAATTCTAAAGAAAGCCCTCTGCTAAGTCTTTCCTCTCCTCAGCTCAAAAGGTAATTGTGGATCCAAAAAGAAAATGCAGACGCTGGCCCCAGGAGGTCGAGGTTCCCTTTAATGTGGTAAGGAGGCAACAGAGGTGAGCATGCTCTTAGAAGAGGGATTTTCTGCCCTTTGAACCACTGTGCCCTTATTCCCCCCTCTAAAAACTGCTCTCATAAGCCCCCAAAGATGGAGATCTGAGACCAAGCCGGCTTCGAGGCTGTTTCCTTTAGCAGTCTGTCTCCTGAGCTTTTGTGGAGCGTGACAAGGAGTGGAGCCTTCCTTCCCAGTTACACTGATGAGGTTTCAGGTGAACAAGGACTGTTGGGAATTGGACCAGAGGCCACACGGATGACACTCTGGCAAAGAACTTGTCTACATTTTGTCCATGCCCTGAAACTGTGTGAGGCTGCATTTAAAGGTGATGGACTAGTGTTATTTTTTAATTTTTATTTATTTATTTATTTTTTTGGTGGGGGAAATTTCAAGGCAGCACAGCATTCAAGCTACAGCATGGGCATTGTTGGCTGATTTTAGCCAGGGTTATCATGAGAATTGTGTGCAAAAAAACATAGCAGAAAGATTTGAAAAACTTGCAGTTTGGCCAGAAAAGAACCATGTGTAATTTGGGCCACCGAAGTTGTGATTGCTGAAGACTTAAGTTAAAACAAAGCCAAACCAGTCACGGTGGCGTAGACATGTGATCCAAGTGACTTGGATGGCTGAGGCAGGAGGATTGCAAGTTGGAGGAGAGTCTGGGCAACTTAGCAAGACCCTGTTTCAAGATAGAATAAGCTAGGAACGGTGATACACGCCTGTAATTCCCATGACTCAGGAGACTTAGTGAGGCCCTCAACAATTTCGTTAAGATCCTGTCTCAAAATTTAAAAAATAAATAAATGAAAAGGTTTGGGGATATGGCTCAGTGGTAAAGCACCCCTGTGTTCAATCCCCAGTACCCCTACCCTGAAAAAAAAAAGCCCCAAAAAGGTAAAATTAAAAAGGAGGCTGGAGATGTAGCTCAGTGGTAGAGCACTCCTGGGTTAAATCCCATGTATCACAAAAATTCATTCATTAACATAAATAAATGCCAGGCTGGGCACAGTGGTGCACACCTATAATCCCAGCAACCTGAGAGGCTGAGCCAGGAATATTATAGGTTCAAAGCCAGCCTGGGCAAATTAGCAATACCCTGTCTCAAAACACAAAACAAACAAAAAAAGGACTAGTGATGTAGCTCAGTGGTAGAGCACCTCTGGGTTCAATTCCCAGTACTAGGGGAAAAAAAAGTTAAAGAAGCACACTTGTAATCCCAGCTACCTGGGAGGAGGCTGAGGCAGAAAGTCTGCAAGTTCAAGACCAGCTCAGCAACTCAGTGAGACCTGTCTCAAAATTTAAAAATAAGAAATGGTTGGACTTGTATTTCAGTGGTAGCATGTAGGAGGGTCCTAAATTAATTCCCAGCACCAAAACAAACAAACAAGTACTTTGCATTTGCATCCGAACAACAGGAAAGATATTTGAGAGCGCCTCAGGAATGGGCCCGTAAAGGAATAAACTCCTAGGAGAGCGTGCACTGCTTACACAGGGCCACACGGTCCAGGTGGGCCCTGCTGCTGTTTGAGCTGGTGGCAGATCTTGGCACCATCTTTGTGATGCTGGTATTGCAGGAAGGCAGAATACAAGCATGGCTCCCTGGCCACCAGGAGGTAAGCAGCTCTGCCCTGCCACATGCTGCGCACCATGCTGCTGCTTCTCCACAGGCTCAGAGTGATGGGGCCGGACAGTGTGTGGCAGGGTTGGGACCCAAGCATGAAGCCCCAGGAGGGCAGGGTGTGAAGCTGCGAGAGAAGTTAGAGATGCCAGGAGCATGGCTCATCTACCAATGAAAATGCAGGCAGCAAGCAGAGCCAGCCCAAGAGAGTGGCCCTCTGGACTACAGATGGCAAAGCCCAAACCCTTTAGGGCCTCACCCACCCCCACAGCATGCCCCAGGTCCAGACGTGCAGCTACAGGACTCAGTGTTTGCCTTGCTGGGTTTTGGTCTTTCTTTGGTCTGATCCCTCTGTGGTTTTCTCCTACTCCTCCTTTTCAGAATGGAAAGTTCACCCTGTACCACTGGTATACTGGACATATGTAACCAGGTCTGTTGTGTTTTTAAATAGCTGCTCACAGTAAAGGTTTGCCCGAGTCTCAGAAGAACTTTGGATGTGTACATGTGTTGCTAGGATTGAACCCAGGGGATCCTAAGCACTAGGCAATGTTCTGTCACTAAGCTATTTTATTTTGAGACATGGCCTCGCTTAGTTGCCTAGGTTGGCCTAGAACTTGCCATTGTCCAGTCTTCGCCTCCCAAATAGCAGGGATCACAGGCATGTGTGCCATACCTGCAGCATCTTGGGACTTGTGAGGAATGCTGGGACTGTCGAGACCAGGGGATTCTTGGAGACCAACTGAATGCACTTTGCAGGGTGGGACGGGCACCTGTCTCTGGAGACCTGGGGTGGAGGTGGGTGGGGAGTCTGGCTCTCAGGCGCCCCCCAGAGGCAAGGTGTTGAAGGTTTGGTTCCAGGCGGGTGATGCTATCAATAGATGGTAGGAACTTCAGGAAGTGGGACTTCGCTGGGGGACCTGTTAGGACTCGCTCTCCTCTCACTCTGCTCCCTGGCCACCAGGAGGTAAGCAGCTCTGCCCTGCCACATGCTGCGCACCATGCTGCTGCTTCTCCACAGGCCAAGCAACCATTGACTGAAACCAGGACCCAGAACAAACTGTTCCTGCTTTTAAGTTGTCTGTCTCAGATATGTGTCACAGTTGTGGAAAGCTGGCTCACACACCCCCTGGGGAGAGCAGAGACAGGCAGGGTGCTCTGCTCCACCTGGGAACCAAGGTGCCTATCCCAGCCTGGACATCTTCCCAGGGAGGGGAAACTGCCAGTTCTCACTCTCGAGGTGGAGACAAGAACGGGAACAGAGGCCTGCAGCCCAACCATCTAGAGCCTCTGCCCTCCCTTCTCAGTGAGAAAACCTGCCCCTTCCCCTCCCTGCTCCTCCAAGGAGTCCTGAAAGGAAACACCCCCGCCAGGGTCTTGGAGGGAGCCTGGCCCCAAATGAACTACGGGGCCAGGAAACCATGTGTATAAATATATAGGCTGTGTGTTTATTATATAAAGGCATCTGTGTATGTGTATGTCCATGCACAGCTCAGGAGCACGGTGGGCAGCGGGCCCAGCACTGGCAGCAGAGCCTCAGCCTGGAGCAGGCTGGAGCCAGGGTCCCTTCCCGGAGGCCTGGCCACCTTGGGCCATCACTGGAAGTCAAGAGTCCTGTTGCTGGGGACGTAGAGGGACTGAGTCTGGCGGCTGCGGCGCGGCGTGGCGTTGAGAACATCCACACTTTTGCGGCTGGAGCGCACGACGTGGGCCACGAAGCTGGTGCAGTCACTGCAGACGTCCTTCAGGGTGCAGCCGTGGGCGTAGATGTGGGGGAACTCCTCCTCCACACTTCGCCACTGAGGCCCCTGCAGGGATCTGGGGCGGGTGGGGACCCAGAGAGGACTGTCAGGCTGGGGAGCCAGCAGGGCTCACACATCCTGGGGGCCCCTGCAGTCCCCTAGGCTCTCCTGCTGCCTGCCCCTCCCCTTCACCACCACAAACCCACAGAGACTTGGGGAAGCCACATGCCTAGCAAAAAGCATCCCAGCAGGGCTCTGGACAGGAACTGGAGTTCTGGGTCCTGACCACCCCAGTTCAGTTTCCATCTCACCACTCTGCCTCCCCACCCCTCCAAAGCCATCTGAACTACACCTCCAGGGCGCGTCCTCACACAAGGTGAGGCCAACCCTGCTCCTGCTCCCAAGTCCCTGCAGAAGCCTGACCACCACAGACACCAGCACCCAGGCCAGGGAACACACTGGAAGACGTCTCGCCTTGGCGCCGTCGCGGTTTTGGCAGCGGGTGCCCTCTGAGGACTCTCAAAACCCAGTGTGTAGACAGGGATGTGTGCACACTTCTTAGAAGGCATCTTCATCTGCAACAGAGGGAGGCGTGGCAGGCCCCACAGGCACTCTGGCTTCACACCCAACAGGACCTCCTTCCTGTCACACCCCAACAGTGTCTTCTGCTCAATGAGAGAGGACTTCTTGGGAGTGGGAACTGTACCCCTTTATACCAGGAAGGGTGCAATGTGAGCCCTGGACACAACCGGTGTTCAACACTGGGGGGAGGAAGCTGGCACTGTCGGGGGTGGATCGTGAGGGGGGTGTGAACACAGGTGGGCAGAGGCCCTCCTCAGCAGGCTTGTTTCCAAGCTGAGGCCAACGGACACGATTCTGAGCGACACTGTCTGTTCACCTGGGTGCAGACTGCATGTCACCATGCCACAAACGCAACAACAGATCTGGGGGAAGGCACTCCCAGGAAGGAGGCTTCAAGAGGGGCGACCTCCTCACACGGAATGCTCACTGCTTCCTAAAAAGCCTAGCAGGCTTGGGAAGTGTGGGGCAGGGTCTGCCTGGAGGAAGTGATGGCAAGGTGCCTGTGGGGCTGGAGCGCTGGTACACGCCCCATCCCAGCTGGGAGAGACCCTGCAGATCCTAGGAGGTCCTCACCTTCACGCTACAGGAAGTGCAGACGGCTCTGGAAGAGAACAGAGAGGCAGTGAAGAGGCCCAGGAAGGCACGACTGCCTCCAGGCCCCTGTGTCCCACCCCAGACCCTGCAACTACCCGTGCAGTCTGCCTGATGCCAGGTGGCTCTGGGCTTTCACGGTTCACTCCTGGCTCTTTCTCTCCTCCTCCTGGTCTCCCACCCAGGGCCCCTCAGCCCCTCAGTTTGCTCCTGGTGCATCTGGCTGTAGTCTTCATGCACCTTCCATACAGGGGTGTGCCAGACCGGCCTCACTGAGAAGCACCGTCTGAGCACAGGCCTCTCGCTGAGATGCTCCGTTACCAGCATCATTGAACACGCTTCTAGTCCAGTGCCCAATGCTATACGGAAAGGTTTCCTCATAGAAGATTCAAACATCAGAGTTACGATTTACCCACCCACAGAGGTGATCTCTGTTAGCGATACAGCCTTCATCCTCCAAACTCTTCTAGACAAACAACAAAACCTACATGATATTTTACAAATGGAAGTGAGCTACTGTGTAAGCTGTTCTATAAAGATACACCAACATCTCTTCTCCATAGGGAGAGAAATCATCCAGACTCATTTTTTAGAACAATGGGCTATGTCCTCTGGAATGAATGTCCTACATTGATTTTTCCATCAACAAACCCCTGGGTTGGGGCTGCAGACTTGGCTCAGTATTGGAGCATTTGCCTAGCATGTGCCAGCCCTTGGGTTCCATCCCTAGCACCATATTAAAAAATGATAACAGGGGCTGGGATTGTAGCTCAGTGGTAGAGCACATGCCTAGCATGTGTGAGGCACTGAGTTTGATATATATAAATAAAGGTCCATCAACAACTAAAAAAATATTTAAAAAAAATAATAACAACAGCCAGACACAGTGATGTACACCTATAATTCCAGCAACTCGGGAGGCTGAGGTAGGAGCATCACAAGTTTGAGGCCAGCCTCATCAGCTTAGTGAGTCTCTAAGCAACTTAGCAAGACTCTGTCTCAAAATAAAAAATAAAAAGGGCTGGGGATGCGGTTTAGAGGTAAAGGGCCCCTGGGTGCAATCCCTAGTACCAAAAACTCAACAATACATTATCATTAATTTTAAGAAAATGTTTTAGTTGTTGATAGATCTTCATTTTATTTCTTTTTTATATGTGGTACTGAGAATCGAACCCAGTGCCCCACACATGCCAGGCAAGTACGCTACCGCTGAGCCCCAGCCCCAGCCCCAGTCCAGTTGTCAATAATTTTGTTTTATTTTTTTATTTTTTGTTTGCCTGGCAATCTCTGATGGGATACCAAATCACTTTTTTTCTTGCGTATGTTTTGTTCCTTTTATTTATGTTATGGCCCTGGTACTTGCGATCCTCCTGCCTCAGCCTCAGTTGCTGGGATCGGAGGTGGGCAGCACGGCACTCGGATATTCCCAGTCTTCAGCTGTGTTCTGGGAAGCAATGAAGATATCTGGAAGCAGTCTGGTCCTTTCAGGTCTTTCCATAATGACCTCTCAGGCCTGGAGAAATGCTGAACTCCAGTGACGTGCTCTACACCTGTGTGGCAAGACCCGCCTGCCTTTCCGCCCCATGCTCCAAAATCATGGCCCTCCAGCGGTAGCTAGTGGACACCGACATGACACTTGGCCCTGAGTGCCCATCACTTTCCTTTAAGTCTGCATGTGCCCCTGCCACGTGGTACTGGGAATTGAGGCTAGGAGGGCTCTACCATGGAGAGACATCTCTAGCCCTTTTCATTTTTATTTTTCATTGAGCCTTGCTAAGTCGCCCAGGCTGGCCTTGAACTTGCGATCCTCCTGCCTCAGCTTCCCCAGTCACTAGGATTACAGTATGTGCCACCCTGCCTGGCCGTTCCACTGAACCTTTAGGACACAGGGAAGCAGACATTTCTGTAAAGGGCAGGACAGTGAACCTCTTAGACGTGGCTAAATGAGAAATGTAAGTGCGTGGCTGTGGGTGTGCTCCGCCTAGCTTTACTCACAGAGCCAGCGGGGAGCAGATGGGCCCGGGGGCTGCTTGCCAGGGCCTGCCTTAGGACGGATGTCCCTCGCTTCAGCCATCCCCTTCACCTCTGCTCCAGCGGCTCACGGAGACTTCTCTGGGGCTTCTATGCGGCTGTGCCCTGAGAACTCCGCGGCCAGTCCTCCCTCCAGGCTCAGCCTTGCCTCCCGCCCCGAGGAGGTCCTGGCTCACACCCCAGACCTAGATGCTTCCTGAGTGTTGCCAGTACCCTGAAAACCACCGCTTCCCATTCCGCCATCTTGTTCCAGCTGGAAGGGGCCTGTGACCCCATCTGGGCTGAAAGTCAGAGCCTCTTGGCTATTTAAGTTTAAAGTGATTTAAATAGAACTCAAAATTCCATTCCTCAGCCTACTTTTCCCCAAGACTACCATCTTCTGGTCATTAGCCACCGGGAGGAGCACGGAGGGAGGAGGAGAGACCCTCACATGTGGTCCTCCTGGCCTCGAGAAGCCAAGGAGATGCTGCTTCACACCTCTGTGCAGACCTCCAGGAAGGCTGGCGTGGCGACACCATGGGCAGGGTGCTACTGAGAAGAAAGGCCCACAGAGTTCCTAGGCAAACAGGAGGGTCCAGGGCCGACCCACCTGCCCACAGAGCCACCACGAACAAGCAAGTCAAGGGCAGACTCCTGCCCAGAGGGCTCCTGCGTGTCTGGCTAAGAGCAGCTTCCCACAACACATGAAGGAAATCGGTGCCCAAGAGACAAGTCCCTCTTTCCACTGAAGCCCCTGCCTGCTCTGCCCAGGAAGCCCACTGTGGGAATCCAAGGGGGGAGGCTGAGTCCCACAGATCCACCCATAATAGATGCAAAGGAAAAATACCTCCTCAGTGGCACTGACCAATCTCAAGGACTCAACAGCCATGGCATGTGACAGAACATCCCACTATCATGTGGGTCGCCCACCGCAGGCCCACTCCCCTTCCTCCTGGTTAATTTGTAGCCAGGTGCACCGAAGGCTCACCTCTTGCAGAAGAGACAGGTGGGCGGCCAGGAGAAGAGTGGGAACTTGGCTCGGCAGCAGCAGCAGATCTGTGAGGGAAGGCGCGCTGGGGTTCAGCTGTGTGCACGGCCCACCAAGGTCCTGCCCACACTGGCCTGCCCCTGACCTCCCATCAAGAGAGATCCCGCCTTCAGCTGTCCCCAGGCCCTACCTTCCCCCTCTTCAGGCTGCTGAAGAGCTCCTTGTCCTGGGCAAACTTCTCCATCTCGGCCTTCACCAGCACACGACGCACACCCACCACCTCCTCCACCGTCAGGGCCAGGCTCTCCACGGGGTGGCGGAACTCCTGCACAGAGGGTCCTGCTCACTCAGCCCAAGAGCTGGGCCCCGCCAGCTGCCTCCCTTCCCTGGGGCCAAGCACTCTTGTGGCTTTCTGAAGGCAGACAGCTCCCGCCTTCTCTGAGGAGGCTTTGCTGCAGCAAGACTCCCCTGCTGGCTCTCCAGCTCTCTGGCCCCACCCTTGGCTGCCCGTGCTCCCCAGCTCCCCAGCTGCCTGAAAACACACACCCTGGGCCGATCAAGACCACCAGAGGACTGGCTGTGGTGCCCGCCCATCATCCCAGAGACTCGGGAGGCTGAGGCAGGAGGATTGCAAGTTCAAAGCCAGCCTCAACCAGAGAAAGGCACTAAGCAACTCAGCCCTCTCTCTAAATAAAATATAAAATAGGGCTGAGGATGTGACTCAGTGGTCGAGTGCCCCTGAATTCCATCCCAGGTACCCCCTCCCCCCAAAAGACTGCCAGAGTCCATTTCAAATCTTCCTCCCCTTGGGAGTCTCCAAACTGAGCTCTCTTTCCTCTCCACTGACCACGCAGTAGGTGCCCTGTCCATCCAGCATGGCACGGAGCAAGCCTGGTGCTACCTCCCAGTGCTCAGCCCGGAACTCGTTGTGGACCTCACTGAGCTTCACTCCTCTGTACATGGGGTGGATTTCAGCTCCTTTGAGGTAACATATATAAAGCCCATAGCCTGGTGCTGGGCACACAGAGCTCAAAATGCCAGCGGTGTTCCCAGGGCCCAGCCTGTGAGTGCCAGAGACAGAGCTGGGAGGGCGTCAGGTCTGGGTCTTCAGCAGGCCGTCCGTGTGGGGCCTCGTGGCAGGGGAGAGGATCTGGACCCTGCTTTCTTGTCCACCTGGCCTAGAGCCTCTGGCTTTGGGTCCAGCTCTGTGCCATTGCCGTGGCCAGGAGTTCTGCTGTCAGATCAACCGTGGTGGCCTGCAGGCAGGGGGCCACCGTGTGCCACAGCTAGCCTGGCAGCCACCAGCTCTGATGTTGATAGTCAGACTTTCCAGAAGCACTTCCAGAATGTCAAAGCTGAATTTTAAAATATGTCTCTGATTCCTGGACCAAGAAGTGGTTCTCAGTTCTTCTCCCCTTGGGAACAGGCTGGATTTGGTGACTCACGTGCAGTGAATGGTGGAAGCGTGTCTGAGACCTGATTGTCAAATGCACTGCAGCTTGCACCTGGCTCTCTCTTGGTCCACTCGCTTGGGGGATGCAGCCACCACGTGGTGACGATGCTCATGGCCCCCAAGGCTCTGAGTGGCATACCCCTAGCGTGAGAGAAGCTGCCTGGGCAGCAGCTCCTGCAGCCCCCAGACAGCCTTCAATGACACTGCAGCCCCTGCTGACAACCCAACTACCAGCTTGGAAGACACAGCCAGGGCCCTGCTGGGCTGCTTCAGGATCTAACATTCAGAAGCTTTAAGGAATAACAAATATTGATTTTTTTTTCTTATTTTTTTTTGGAGGGGGGCATGTAGTAGGGATTGAACCCAGGAATGCTCTACCACTGAACTACATCCTAGCCCTTTTTTTAATTTTAATTTTAATTTTTTGGTGGGGATACCAGGGATGGAATTCAGGGGCACTGGACCACTGAGCCACATCCGCAGCCCTATTTTGTATTTTATTTGGAGACAGGGTCTCACTGAGTTGCTTAGTGCCTCACCATTGCTGAAGATGGCTTTGAGCTCACGATCCTCCTGTCTCAGCCTCCCTAGTTGCTGGGATTACGGGTGTGCACTACTGTGCCTTTTTTTATTAAAAAAAAAATATATGTGTATGTATGTGGCACTGAAACCAGATATGCTTAACCACTGAGTCACATCCCCAGCTCTTTTTATGTTTTACTTTGAGGCAGGTCTTGCTAGGATGCTTATGGCCTCACTAAATGGCTGAGGCTGGCCGGCCTTGAATTTGTGACCCTCTTGTCTCAGCCTTCTGACTTGATGGGATTACAGGTGTGTGCACCTCATCTAGGCTGGCCTTGAACTGCGCTCCTCCTGCCTCACCTGGGATTACAGCAGTAGCCCTCACACCTGACAATAAATGTTAACTTTTTATACCTTCATTTTGCTTATTTGTTTTTATGTGGTGCTGAGGATTGAACCTAGGGCCTCACATGTGCCAGGCAAGCGCTCTACCGCTGAGCCACAACCCAGCCCATAATTTTTTAAAAAATATTTATTTTTTAGTTGTAGGCAGACAAACAATCTTTATTTCATTTTTCTGTGGTACTGAGGATCAAACCCAGTGCCTTATGTGTGCTAGACAAGTACTCTACCACTGAGCCACAACCCCAGCCCCTAAATGTTAATTTTTAAAAAGCCAAATGGGGATAACTGTTTGGGGAGTAGGGTACTAGAGATGGAACCCAGGGCCTTGCACATGCTAAGTCACGCCTACCCGTTTATTGATTGATTTGTTTGTTTATTTTAAAAAACTTTGGTACCAGGAATCGAACCCAACGCTCTTAGCCTCCCTAGTTGAGGGAATCACAACCCCAGCCCTTTTTACTTTTTATTTTGAGACAGGGTCTCACTAAGTTGCTAAGACGGGCTTTGACTTGCAATCCTCCTGCCTGAGCCTCCCATAGCTGGGGTTACGGGCATGTGCAGCTAGAGAAGGAATGTTAATGCAGGGACACATAACTAACCCCGAAGGGGCAAGGATCACCTTCCAGTTAAAATCAACAGCACTGCCTTCCTTTCACACAGAACACTTTTCAAAGCATTTCCACACCCATTCTCAGAGGGGGGTCTTGCTGCCAACCACACCTAGCACCCCTCCACCTGCCTGAGTGCCTCTGAAGCTCCGTGCATTCCTGTCACCTCGCTTGACAGAATCATATGTTGACAGGTCTGGGGGCGGGGCCTCAGGACAGGGGTAGGCAGAATCTCTGCAGCCCCCTGCATCAGACTTGGTCTCTGCTGATAGACCGAGAACCATGGAAATCTTGGCCAGGTTAGGGTCTCCTCTCTACCACAACGTCCCTCAGCACAGGGGTTACCCAGAAGGGCTCACAGCTGCCTCAACTCACACACTCGACCCTTGGGGTCACAGTGCCAATGTGCCCAGCAGGGGGCAGCAAAGACCAATCTCCCAGACAGCACCAGCAGTACAACCCCAGGCTTCAGGGACAAGGCCAGACCCAGCCAGAGCCCAGGAATGCAGCCTGGGTCTCCCTAGCACCAGCTGGTGTTCAGACTTCATAGAGATTCACCCAAGAGGTCCCCAAAGGAGCACCACTCACCAACCACAGGTGCCTGGCATCTGGTGCAGAAGCCCCAAGTCCGTCTGCTGAGCTCAGGCTGCTGAGCTGGGGGGAGCTGGGATCTGGCTGGGACTGGACACTCACAGGACAGGAACCTGAAAGAACACAGGCCTGTGAGGGTCACCTGGCGGAGTGCTGGTTGGAGGGCTGAGGATGAAGGGGTGGTAGGTGCCTCTGTGGGCTAGGATGATCAAGTTGAGCCAAGTAGACAGCATGTCACCCAGGTGGGGACCTGTACCAGGGTCCATGCTCTTCAGAGCCCCATGACAAGCCCACATTAAGCACCCACGGTGCAGCAGGCAGTCTGAGCACTGACAGGCACACACAAGGAGGGTCCCCGGCCCACAAGTATGCTGTAGGCTCCAGGGCAGGAGGAAAAGGGACAGCTGGCCCAGCCTCCGACCCGGAAAGGGAATCATCAGGACCCATGGGTTGTACCGAGAGTGGCCAGAAGGCTGCAGGGCTGCTCAGGGGACCATGCAGGCAACAAAGAGGCCTGGCCATCCCTGGGGGCTGACAACCTGCTACCGGACAGCTATCAGAAGAACTAACCCTGCATAGCCAGCAAGCACCATCCGATGCTCTGTGTGCTCCAGCGGGAAAGGAACCGTGGAACGAGCCACATGCCTGCGAGGGACTCCTGCTCCTGTCCACAGAGAGGACGGGGAGCTGGCTAGTGTCTGGCCAGGCAGCTTCCCTGTGTGGGTCAGCCGCCCTGAGATACAGTGAGGCTGGAGAATCGAGTTCTTGAGGAAATGTTTTATAGTAAATGAAAATGTCCTCAAGTGAGAAAGGGGGTGTCAGTGGGAGACTGAAGGTCTCATCGCAAGCAGCAGCTCCTGTACCCTCGGGAGCTGCCTGCTCAGGAGGGCACGGGACTGAGCTGCCCTGGGCAGATCTGAGGGGAAGGTCAGGCAGCAGGTGGGAGCAGCACTTGCCCTGGTCTCGGGTGCTGGGTTTCCAGGTGTGCACGCTGCCTGCTCGGGGCCGGGGTGGCTCCGTCCCTCCTGGGGGCTGTGTGGCTGGCTGCAGGCCAGAGGCCATTTCACTCCGGAGCTGGGCCAGGTCATGCTCCGAAAAAGAGCGGTCCCGTTTCAGTGCCACCTCCCCACAGGGAGACTCTTCTTCCTGCAGACACGTCAGATAGAGCCCTGCCCTGGCCACGATGCTCCCAGTGCCCTGCCCATCCCTGACCGAGGCACCGGACCCAGGGGTGCTACTAGGTCCACAGACACCCTAGACGGTCCTCTGCCCACTGCGGGGCTTCCCGTCTACTGGAAAGTTCATACCAAGTGCCTTAAAAACCCAACCCTCCCCTGAGGTCTTTGGAAAGCCCCGGAGAGATGTACAGGGGAAAGCTGAGCCCACCAAGAGGACCACCACAGGAGTCATCTCCTGTCCTCTTGGGAAGGGGAGGGCTGTGATCAGAGGGCAGCCAGAGTGACAGCTTTTCTTATCAACCAGGGACCCATTAGCCTTCTGGCCCCAGATGATGGGTCACATCGATTCTCAGCCTTTTTTTGCTGTGGGAAGAAGTGGTCCAAGGCCACTGTCCCAGCATCCCAAAGATACTTCTGAGCTGCCAAGACGGGATAAGGGTCCTAAGCCCCCCTGCCACCACTGGCCAGTAGCCCTGGCAGTGGATGCCCCACCCAGCTGAGCACTGTGGCCCCCTCTGGTCCTCAGGAGTCTCTGTGGGCTCTGACCTCAGATGTGGTCATCTCCTCCATCTCAGCCAAGGTGGGTGCCTTGAGCAGGACTCGGGGACGCGAGCGCTGCACACTGCTCCCAGCATCGGGAACGGACAGGTTGATGCAGGACGTGGACTTGACATCCCCAGAACAGGCACTGAGGATACAGGGCAGAGAGCCGAACCCTGGGAGGCAGGAGGCCAGGCAGTGGGACGTGAGTGGGGAGGAGGCGCACAGGACACGTGCGGCCAGCCCTGGGGACAGGGTTTGGGAGCCTGAGGGCGGGTCAGCCACTAACGAATTGGACACCCAACCTGAGGGGCAGTGCAGGCTAGCCTCTCAGAGACAGAGTACAGGGACTGCAGATTGTCTCCACTCTTACCGGGAAGATCAGGTCTCAGACATCTGAATAAATGCCTGATTCTCCCAGACCCCAAAACTTCAGTTTTATTTTGTTTTCTGCCTAATCGTTGAAATTCATCATAGCCAAAAGTACAAAGTCAGGCCAAAACCCAGAGTACAGTCCGGGCGCCTGAACTTCACAAGGCCATACTACAAATGGGACGTCCTCTGCCCCGGAGCACTCGTGGAGCCGACAGCGACTCCTGATTTGTGGCGTGACCAGGGGAAGTGGGGGACTTCATCCAGGGCCACGTGGGGTCTCTTCTCCCATCACCCCTCCCCTTGCTCACCACGGGTGCCCAAGCGCTGGTCCCCCACAGGGCGCAGCCTCCGCTCCTGCTTGATTTCTTCCAGGATCTTCTCATGCAGGGTCCTCTGCTTCTGTGGCAACGGGCGCAGCCTTCTCTCGGAGACCTGCAAAGAGGACGAAGCACGAGGTAGGAGGGACTTAGACAGCGACGGGGACGCTCAGGAGTGGGGAGATACTCAAGGTTCACAGAAGACATGGCGCTAACTCTTGGCTCTCCAGGAAGGAGTGCTACCCCAAAAGAGCTCTGCCTGCAACAGGCACGGGGTGAGGTGACCAGCACAATCCTTCCAGAAGGACGGAGGCCCGGGGCCCATGCCCAACCTTCCAGCCAGGAGACAGGGAGCAGAGCCCACCCCGTGGCTCAGCAGAGGTACGCTCAGGTCCCCCTTGCAGGTGAGACACAGGACAGCACCAGGTTCTGGAACGCCCTGCAGGAGGCACAGCATTGGCACCTGCTTCAGCGGAGGCCGGGAGCGGATGAAGTCCAGGATAAGCTCATGTGCATCCTTCTTCACTCGTGGAGGGATGTCCCCATCGACCTGCCGCAAAGAAGCCCAAGCTCAGACCAGGGCTAACCTGAGTTCGTAGGGGTTGTCTGCTGGTGACTGGGAGGGCTCACTCAGCCCCTGACCACAGCCTGGCCTTCATTTCTGACCTGCCTCTGATGGCATCGGCTCCCTGGGACCAAGCTGTCTCTGGGACTGATACACAGCAGGTGGTCAGCTACAACCTCCAGTACTCACACTCTAAGCCCAGCCATTTGATCTCTCTGTACCTGGGATTCTTCTAGAAAGGAGCTAGTACCCACCTCAAAGGGTTGTCACAGGAATGAATGAACTTGTTCATTTAAAATTCTAAGAGTAGCTGGGTGCTGTGGTACACGCCTGTAATTCCAGCAGCTAGGGAGGCTGAAGCAGGAGGATCACAAGTTCAAAGCCAGCCTTGCAACTTAGTGAGGCCCTAAGCAACTTAGCGGAACTCTCAAAATAAATGAATGAATGAATGAATAAATAAATGGTGCTGGGGATGTGGCTCAGCAGTAAAATTGATAATAATCATAAAATTCCAAGCGTGGCATCAGCCCATGCAAGGGCTGCTGGGTGCTCCTTAAGTGGAATAGCCCCGCAGCCTCAGTTCCAGGCTTCCCGGGCCATCCCCGTATTCCCCATCTTCTGTGTCACACTGTGTCCCCAACACAACATTGAGCTGTGGGGCTCGAGGGCCACACCTGCCTTATTCAGGATCTGGGTGCGGTAAGGGCTCAGTGCTCAGCCTAAGGTGCAGGGCCTCCGGCAGAGGCGGGCAGGAGCTCGGCGCTCACCATGACCTTGCGCAGCTGGTAGTTCCTGGCGCGGATGTCCTGCATCAGCATCTCGAAGGGGGTGAGCTGGAACTCGGTGGGCAGGGGGTTGAACTCTTGCTCCTGCACCTTCTTGAGTTTCACCCCGTGGCGCAGCTCCCGCATGAGCTGGACCCACAGCCGGGCCTGCCCCAGAGACAGACAGGGCCCTCAGCCCGTGCAGCCTGCCGGCCCAGCCCTGGGGCGACTCTCCTGTCTTACCCAGTCTGTGTGTCCCAGGTTGTCCAGCTCCGCCAGCGGCTTCTCCACCTGAGGCTCATCCGCCCCTAGCTTCAGCAGCATCTGAGAGCACACATCTGGTTAGTCCAGAGAAGGTGGGAGGGGGCAGACACGGGACCCGGGCTTCCTCACCACACGGCCACGGCTCACCAGCTGAAAGGGGGCCTGTGGAGTCCTGACCCCGGCTGTGGGGCTCAGGAAGATGTCTGGGAGCACCATGCTCTCCACCTCGGAACCACACAGGTACCTGTCCGTCAGCTCTAGGGGGCTCCTCCTGGGCAGGGGCTGGTGAGAACCTAGTGCCCATGTGGCACCTCCTCCCGTCTTACCCACACACCCCAGGGAGGTGTGGCAGGGGTGGGAGCCCCCATCTGTGAGGGGCTCCCCACTTTTGCCCAGACCTCAGTGCGCACAACACCTCCTCAGGGGCACCTTGGCCAGCGATGGCCCACGCATTCTCCTGAGACATTCACAGCTGCTTCTCCACCACGATCCCCACAGGAGGCCACATGGAACCCAGCGCCTCAGAACCTGCAGCTGGACCTCCCGCAACGTGGCACAGGTAGGTCCTCCAACTGTTTGAGCAGGTGGTGGTGGGTGCAGGCCAGTGTGGTTGCCAGCAGGTCCCGGGAGGGTCATTCCCAAACCAGGAAGAATGCCAACATCATGGTGAGGGCCAGGAAACATCATGGCCTCAGGGACTGTCGGGGACTGTCGGTGACTGTCGTGTGCTGAGAATTTGGGGAAGGCTGCTGGAGTACCTGCCTCGGTTGCCTGCATCCCAGTGGCAGCCTGACTGCTCTGACTCCCCTGTCCTGGAGCAGCATCTGCCTTCAGCCCACAGCCACTCTTGACCCAGGCAGAACCGGTCACCCTGGCTGCACCCCAAACTACTTGCCAAATGGCTCTGAGACACTCGAGGAAGTACTGCCAGCTCACAGAAGCACCAGGCACGCCATTCTAATAGCAGTCCCCACGTGGGACCTGGCCAGCCCCAGGGGCAAAGGGCAAGAGGGTGGCTCTCCCATCCTGAGCAGGCTGCTTCTCTCCAAAATGCCCGCCTAGACTAGCACAGCTGCACCCCACCGAGGGACCTGGTCTCTGTGCCCCCTACCACCAGTTCCCTGAACTTCAGGCCAATGGCTCGACACACAGAGCTGTGTGTTCCTGCTAAAACAGGAGCCTTGCTGTCTGGGTGAGAACCTGAGCAACAAGACACAGACCAAGTTCAAAGAAGGATGAAAGCATCAGGACCACCAACTGTCTGTGGAGTTCATGGGAGAAAACCCCTAAGATGTCAAGGAAGCGCTGGAGAGAAGGTGGGATGACCACAGGTACTGGGCACGGCTGGCCACCTCCCCATCTCGGCATGTGAGAGCTGCAGGGGAGGCTGGCAGCTCAAGCCTCTTCTTAGGACCCATGGGTCAGTGAAGCTACCAAGAACCCCTCTGTATTAGAAGGAAAGAGCACCCAAAAAGGTGAGGGTGGAGTCAGGGACCATACCAGTTAACTCCCCAAATACCTTCAATCACCTAAGCAAAGGAGTGCAGCCAATCTCTCTGACCTCTGCAGGGACCCCTCTCTCCTCCGTGGAAAGCTGATGGGCCTAGGGTCCCTGCACTTAGGAGACTGCCAAACAAACCCATCAGCTCCCTCTGAACAGCAGCAACTCCTCCAGGAGGGGCTGAGAGCTGGGAGAGCAGACTGCACACCATCCCTGAGGTCCAGGGGGAATCAGGACACCCCAGAGGAGAAGGGTGGCTTGGGAGCCCAGGGAGACCAGCCCTGCCCTATATTGGCTCTGCAGCTCCCGGCAGGGATCCAGCCTCCCAGAATCTGCATCTGCCCACCTGCAAAATGGGCCCAACCTTAGAGGGGTACCTGGAGAGCAAGGCCAGGCACAGCACACACCCACAGGTACCCCCACGCAACTGCCCACCCACCCCACTTGAAGGATCTGTGTGGTTCCGAGTGGTGGGAAGGGGCTGCCATTGGCATTGTCTTCAGAAGAACCTGGGACCTGGGGAGCAGGTGGGGGCAGCAAGCGGGACTCCCCCACAGAATCATGGCAGCTGGCTTAAGGCACCAGGAACGAGGCTCGGGCACAGGCTAGGAGCCAGTTGCCTCCCTAGGCCTTGGTTCCCTTCTCCGAAAACCTGGCCAGCATGTATGAGGCGTCAGCACGCAGCCCAGAGCAGCTGGGGCATTCCCGCCCGAGGGGCAAGGTACCCACTAGTCACCCACCAGATCCCCTTCGGGTCCGGCCATCCGCGGGCCCCACCTTGAGCACTGTGTTCCCCAGCTCACCGCTCACCTCCTTGGCCTCGCGGACCCTGGCGAGGAAGGCCTGTAGCTCCAGCGTCTCCACAAAGAGTGCGCGACACACAGCCTGGTAGTGGGCCTGCGCGCCCCGAGGGTCGGTCAGGCGCGCAGCGCAGAGCCGCATGGCCTGGGAGAAGGTGCGCACGGCCCGGGGGCCACCGTCTGCAACCTCCTCCTCCTCCTCTGGACCCCCGTAGCCCTCGTCCGCCGCCCCACAGCCGCTGTCCTCGCAGTCGCTGTTGGCCATGAGGTCGATGAGCCGCTCCAGCTGTGGGCTGAGCTCGCGCTCCTCGCTCTCGTCCAGGCCCCAGTCCAGCGCGCGGTAGATGGCAAAGCCCAGCGACTGCACCATCTGCAGGACAAAGAGGGGCTGGCGGCAGGTGGCAGGGAACAGTGCAGGGCGCCCAGAGCTGGGCAGGCTGCCAGCCCCTTCACAGGCAGGGAGAGGCTCGGGAGACGGACAGTGGCCAGGCCCAGTGACAGGCCAGGAGGGAGGGGCCAACGGCCACTAAGGGGAGACACCAGGTACCAGATGGTCAGGGGCACGGCTGAAGGGACTGCCCGCGGCACACCACTTTGCAGAACAGCTTGGCCTCTCGCGATCCAACAGACCAGTGCTCAGCCGCTCTCTCCAGGTGCTGAACTGACAGGCCCCGAGCGCGGCCCCTGGAACGCTCTCCAGCTGAGAGTGGGACCGCATGGGGACACTCACAGGGAATGCTACCACACAGCAAAGAGGAACCGACACACAGTCCCCCCACACGCTGATCCCAGGGACAGAATCGGCAGAGAGCCTCAGGACACACGTCCCCTCACAGGAGCGCGGGGAGCTGAGCCTGATGAGATGCAGAGGGTCAGGGGCTCCCCACAGGCGTCCTCACTAGGGTGCCACTGAGAGGTGTGGACTTCCAGAGGTCCCACTGCAAGGTCTTCTGCTGCAGTGTGCCCTCGGAGGGAGAGTGGAGCCTGCCTTCCCTCCTCTGCCCTGTGCTCCCACCACGAAGTCCTGAGCCACACCGGCCCAAAGCCACAGGGCCAACTGCCCCAGTCAGAAACTCGGACACTGGGCGCCAAGGAGAACCTTTCCAGGTACTTGAGTCTCAGAGGCGGAAAGCTGGCTGACCCCAAGCCAGACATGATGAAGTCTGACCTGAAAAGTGATCGCACTGGAGTGGGTGGTGGGTGAAACGAGGGGATCACCAGGCAGGTGGGTGGGACCCAGTGCCGTGGTGCTCGTGAACCAGGGACCCGTGCTGTTCTGCCTGCTCTGGATGTGCTTGAGGTCTTCGCCTGTTGGTTTGTGGCACTGGGTCTGAACCTCGGGCCTGCAGCATGCTAGGCCAGCCCTCCACCTCAGCTACACCCCTGCCCACAGGCAGTGTTTGCCGTTTGTTTGTTTCTAAGCACATTTTTAAAATTCGAGAGGTCTCGTGGTGGAGGCCTCTGGACTCAGCGCCTCTCGGCTGGCGTGGCAGGGAGCCCTGTGGAGGGCAGCGGGTCCTGACACCGCTGCACTGGGACTGGCCTGCCCTGCATCAGGTCCTTGCTCAGCATCTGGATGGCCATCTTAAGCGATGGCCGCCATTTTAAGAGAAAAGTTTTGCTTTCCTGCCCAAGGACCTTTCTGAGAAAGGCTCACCACTCCCTCATACCAACCCTCATTAGGACCACCCGGCTCTGACTGCCGAGCCTCCCCGTAAAAGTCCCAGAACCCAAGCCTGTTCGCCCTCCCCCACAGAGAGGGCCGTTATCTGTCAGCTCTGACAAGTGAACTCTGGCTGTCTCTCTGCCTGGCTCCCACTCTCATCCCTTGCTTACCCATCTCTCCTCCCTTCACCCTGGCCCACGTGCTCCCTTGGAGGGCTGGGTGTGCTCCAAGCACTGTGGCAGGCCACCAGCTCTGCTGAATGCAGTGGACAGCAGGGCCACCCCAGCCTCAGTCTCAAGGTGGCCACATTCTCCCCTGAACGCATCACTTCCTCAGGGAGCCTCTGTCTGCGCCTTTGAAATCCTGCTGAAATTCTCTTCCATCAGGTAAGTGAAGAAACCATGGTCCCAAGTCTAGCTCCCCCTTCCCTCTGGCGACTCCTCAGACCTTTCTCCAAAGACGACTCTTCTCTATGGCATCTCCTGGGGACCTGCACAGGACCTTCACAGGCACTGACTTTGCAGAGATCTGGCCACCGGTGACTCTGGGTGGGTGGGGAGGACTGGCAAATGATCATCCCAGCTCCATGTTCAGAAGATGGCAAGAGTCCCATACTTGAGGCCAGCATCTGCCTCCTTCAGAAGAGTGAAGGAGGAGACTTCTGATCCCTGACTAGGCATGGCCATCACCCCCTGCCAGCCTGAAGCAGCCACAGAAGACGGATGTCTAGCCAGGCTCGGTGCACACGCTTGAATCCCAGCAGCTAGGAGGCTGAGGCAGGAGGACCACAAGTTCAAGGCCAGCCTCAGCCACCTAGCGAGACCCTGTCTCAAAATGAAAAAAACAAAATGGGCTGGGGGTGTGGCCAGTGGAGAAGTGCCCTTAGGTCAGATCTCCAGTGCCAAGGGGAAGAAAGAAAGATCATCACCTCTCACAGCCTTAAGACTAAGGGTGCAAAGTTTCTGGGGGGATAAGATAAAAATCTAGGATGAAAAAAGATATATACTAAGTCTCAAAGGAACCGCCCAGGAGCCAGGAGAAGCAGGGACCAGAGCTGTGAGTCTTGAGCGACGCGCCCTTGGAGCATGCCCCGTGGAAGGAGGAAGCTCAGAGCTCCACCCTGGGCCACCTGCAGTCCAGCCCCAGCTGCAGCCCTCTATAGCATTGCCCGGCCCAAGGCGGGACTTCCCATCTAGACAGCCCACTTTCTCCCCTGAATGGGTCTCTACTTCCTGAATAAACCTCTGTTGATTTAGGAAATCATGCAAAAAATATAAATAAATAATGACACTCCTGCCAGGTGTGGTGGCCACATTGATAATCCCAAACAGGAGGCTGAGGCAGGAGGCTCACAAGTTCAAGGCCAGCCTGGGTAACTTAGTTAAACCCCTGTCTCACAATGAAATGAAAAGCCCGGGGTACAGCTCAGTGCTCGCACTCCCTAGCCTGCGCAGGTGCGGGCTCATCCCCAGCATACGACCTCCCTGTGATCTGCTGGGCATGGCTCTTAGTGCTAACGGACTTTCATGCTTTTCTTTTATGACATGGATCAAAAGGATGCATTTACGCAAAGACACTCTCCCAGTCGGAGCCTGGGCTGAGCCTGGTGTAACTCTTCTGCTTGGCTGTGGACAACCCACCGACACCATCTCTCATCTCGCAGTTTGGGGAGAGAGGCACAGAGAGGTCAGGTTGCCTGGGCACAGCTTGCAAAGAGCTGGGCCAAAGCTTGGCCAGGCCTGGGTCTGCTGTGTAGAGTCCTCAGCCTTGTCCCTCACAAGGAGGCCACTGCCTTCTCCGGGAACCGTCCGGGTCACTGCTTCAGGGCCTCTAGCTTCCTGTGTGCCCACCTCTGGGAGCCTGGGGGGCCAGGGCCTGCGCCATGCCGAGCAAGAACAGGGGCCAACCCCGTGCCAGGCGGAGGGCCAGCAGGAGTGCAGGGCGGCAGGGGGCCCAGGGTGGCCCCCTGGAGGCCACCTCAGCATGTCTGTGCTTTCTGCAGACGAGCATCAGGGACACGGCTCCAAGCCACACCCTAGACTCGAGAGCAACAGCCACAGCCACAAAACTCCAGCAGAGGGTCACACCTGACAGGTGCCAGCCCGAACCCGGCCCAGGCAGGCGAAGCCCGGGGTCACGGGGGCTCCAGCAGGGCCTCGGTGCCCCTCCTGGGTGCCACGGTGACGGGGGCAGGCAGGAGTGACAGTCCCCACGAATTCCCAGTGATCCTTTCTGGCCTCTGGGTAGGTGCCAAGAATGAGCGAGGAGGTCGGAAGGGCATCTCACTCCTACTCCGTCTGCCTCGAGCTCCAGGCTGGGCCACTGTGTGGCTCTGATGGTCTTTCTCATGCAGACCACCCCACCCCACGGACAGGAGGACAGACTGAGGGCACAGGAGGAGAGCCCCTCTTCCTCCTGGCCTGAGCGAGTGCCACGCTGGGGAAAGTGCCACCTGCAGTCCAGTCTTGTCCGATAGCTGCATCAGTGAGAGGTCTTCTGTGCCTCCAGTCACGGGAAACTCTCTGGAAGTCAAGAACGCTCCTTCCCACAAGGAGGTCTAGGCAGTCGGCCAGGCTCAGAACCTCTAGCCCTGCCGGCATTCCAGCACTGGACAGGCTCAGCAGCCTGGGCGTGGTCAGAAGCCGCAGGGGTCCCGTGGCACCTCATGCAGCCTGAGTAGCCCCAGTCGAGACGAGGTGCAGGCAGCTCCCCTGCTGGGGCTACTCGCTCTCAAGTGAACCTGGGGCCTCTGAGAACAACGACCCTGACTGGACGACTCCCATACACCGTTGTAGTGAATACTTATAAATTCTTAGCTGTAGATGGACCCAATACCTTTATTTTAATGTGGTGCTGAGGATCAAACCCAGTGCCTCACACATGCTAGGCAAGTGCTCCACCACTGAGCTATGGCCCTAGCTCCTCTTTATGAATCTTTTTAAGGCATCCTTTGGAAAGTTTTCAAGTAATAGACTACTTGGGGACTCTGCACAGCAGGGGCCAGCTGCCACCCAGGAGCACTGCACTTGGGAAAAAGAAACTATCCAGAATATTATGCAGTCATGAAAAGGGATGACTAACCACCCCAGGGCAATGCAGATGAGTCTTGGAAACCACACACAATTGTTTGAGGAATCTCTATGTAGGATAAGAACGGAGCTGGTAAATAAACTCGGCAATGTGCTACTTAAATGGCAGTATTCCAAGGTGAGGGACTATGTGAGGTGAGACACACTGCTAGTTTCTGGGTTCTCAACAACAGATGGTATATCCTCTTCTGGTCTGTGCCCACTTCCCCCTGAGTGTGCCACTGTGTTTACTGTAAAACAGGTGTTATATTAGAGCAGTGGTCTAAAGACACAGAGAATAACCAAATCCAGGACGCGATCTTGGGGCAGGTGGGTGGAGGAGGAAGGGGGTTTGAGATGTGGGCTGGGTGGGAATTCCTTGGCTTGTGTCCTGGGCTGGTTTTCCTGTTTGCTCCTGAGACCCACACCCAGCCCCCAGCATTGTGCCTGTGAGGCCAACCAGGCAGAGGTCATCACCCACTTCCCTCTGGGTCAGTAGCAACTCCTCCCTTGCTCCTGCCCCAGAGCCCTTGACACCCTGCTGGGCCCTCGCCGCCTGTCCTCTGTGCACAGCTTCCTCCCAGGCCCCGCGAGGCCCTCTGGGTGCTGCACTGTCCTGCCTCGACGAGCAACTACAGGACGTAATATGGTCATAGTTTCCATTTCGCAACGCAGGTTCACTTTCACAGTATCAAGTCGTCTTTAAAACTGTTTTAAGTACCTGAGCTTCTGAGCTGGCTGGGGACACCATCGTGGTTGTGGGCTCTGCAAGAAAAGACAGCGAGTCAGGTTCCCTCAGCAACCCCAGGACCCAAGGACAGGCTGCTGCCCCTCCCACAGCTCACCATGACCCCAGGAGCCCACAGACAGGCGGCTCCCCAGCACCCCTGCAGCTGCGATGGCCACCCTGAGCCCCCAGCCCCATTTCCCTGTAGGAAAATACAGTAATCCCCCCATTCTCCAAAGGAACCCCAGAAAGTTCATTGCCAGCTGAGCCACCAGGTCACTTGCAAGGCCCTTCAGGAGCCAGCTCTGGGCAGGACACCTGGGTGCCAAGAGTGACTGTCCCTTTCTGCACTAGAGAAGGCAGACCCCAGTGCTCCCCAGTGACTGCTCAGAAGAGTGGTCAGCAGTGCTAGTGAGTGGGTCCAGGCCTGCTTGGAGACAGAGGGGAAAGGAGGGAGCAGCTCAGGTAGGTGGTGTCTGCAGGCAAGAAGCCGTGGTCTGAAGTGAGAAGCTGGGACGCTGGAACTGAGGTGGCCGGCCTCCAAGTTACACTGTCAGAAGAGACTTGGGCTCAAAGGAGCCGACAGGCTTTGCCTAGTGGGAATGTCCACCTCGGACTGCGACTCCTGGATCTGAGGCCCACTACAAGCTCAATGTGAGACTGAGTGGCGCCAGGTAGTGAGTTGGCATTCTGCAGGTGCTCATCCATGTCTGCCGAATCCAACTCAGGAAGTGGGTAGCTCAGGCACCCATTCACAGATGAAGAGACAGAGGCTCAGAGATGACCTCCTGTGCTCCAAGGTATCACAGCTAGTGGGGGGGGGGTAGTGCCAGAGCAAGGCAGGGGGACCCCAGAATCTGTACCACCAGTTGCTGCCCAAGCCCCCCGCCCCCCAGGTTCCCAGGATGCAGAAACCCATCCACACATGCGACGTGCAAGGGGACTTGAGTGGGCATGGGAGCTCACTGCCTTCAGTCCTACTAGAAAGAGGTGGGACGTGGGAAGACAGACCTCAGGACGGTCTCTGCACGAACCT